TGATAGACATGAATTAATGGAAGTGTATTATAGTACTTTATTGTTCAAAAGAAGTAGCACCATAAGGGTTTCCCTGTATAAGGTCTGAAGTTCATTCTAGGGTCTTAGAACAGAGAGAGATCAACCATTGCCAAACACATGCAGTTTCTGCCAGGAACACTTCTTTGGAGGAGCATATAGGACAGATGTGGAGATATTAGATCAAATTCTATTTTTTGTTGTGATGGTGTAACTTTAGAGCAACTTCACTGTAATGATGCTTATGACCACAGTTGAGCAGGGGGAAGGGAAGAGGAGAGGCTAAACATGAAGTTGAGAACCACCTTTGTGCCAACATAACTCCAAGCACTGAATTCCAAGTCTGTATTTGGACTGCATTTATTGGAAACTAGGGTGACCAGATAGCAAGTGTACAAAATCTGGACAGGGAGTGGGTGGTAATAGGGACCTATATAAGACAAAGCCCTGAATATTGGGACTGTCCCTATAAAATCAGGACATCTGGTCACCCTACTGGAAACTCTGGCATAACTTTTTTGCATCTTTCCTTGTCTGAAGAGCTACACAGCGAAGACAGTTTTTCTCTCTGCCCCCACATCTAACTAATGTTTTAAAACCAGTCTTTCAACGACAGGCATATCTGTCACCTCTGTTTTAGAGGAATCTATACCTTAGAAGTATGGTTCTGGAAACTATAAATGCATACTTCAAGCCCTCCAAGAACAATGTTGCCATTTATACTATTCTTCGCTCAGAGGAGCAAACAAGCTCTTTGGCAAATAAAGCTTTTGTCACTCATTGGGAATCTCCAAATAGTATTGGTGAATGGATCCTCTCAAGATTTTGCAGTGGGAAGTAGTCTCTCTCTCTCTCTCTCTCTCTCTCTCTCACACACACACACTAAGGGTCTGGACCTATTGATGGTGCTAATAATTTATTAGAGAGTGCTTAGCACTTTGCAGGACCAGGCCCCAAATTAACACCACTTGGGATAAGCAAGCTTTGAATATTGTATTAGCAAAACAAAGGCTAATACTACTACTAAGCACTTTGATTGGATGGGAGAGAATAGAAAGGGGGAACATGGAAATAAGTCTGATTCTGACAGGCAGCCTTGTCATTCCCTTAGCAATAACTAACACTTAGTACTTACATGTATATGGAGGGCACCACTGATGTGTACCTCATTCGTGTATGGATCTTTACCATCTTATCTGCAGTATTCACTGTACTGAGAATGGGAAATAGGGCAAGTCATTTGGGAAATGTGACTGCTAGATATGGTAGGTGTCATGATTTTAAGGACAACCATTCTACAATCCTTTCCATCTTCAAAATACTTCACATTGGTCAATGTCCTTATGCCTCAGAAACGCTCTGTGAAATAAGCACTGTAAGTATTAAGTTTTCTTCTGGATTTCTTCACTCCCCTGAAATCTTCGCTGAGAAACCCTGATAATAATGGTAGGTTTCAGAGTAACAGCCGTGTTAGTCTGTATTCGCAAAAAGAAAAGGAGTACTTGTGGCACCTTAGAGACTAACCAATTTATTTGAGCATAAGCTTTCGTGAGCTACAGCTCACTTCATCGGATGCATACTGTGGAAAATACAGAAGATGTTTTTATACACACAGACCATGAAAAAATGGGTGTTTATCACTACAAAACGTTTTCTCTCCCCCCACCCCACTCTCCTGCTGGTAATAGCTTATCTAAAGTGATCACTCTCCTTACAATGTGTATGATAATCAAGGTGGGCCATTTCCAGCACAAATCCAGGGTTTAACAAGAACGTCTGAGGAACAGTGGGGGGAGGGAAGGAATAAACAAGGGGAAATAGGCTTGAATAGAGACTGGGAATGGTTGATTCATGATAAAAAGTAACCTAAGTTAATTGTATCCAATTTGCAAATTAATTCCAATTCAGCAATCTCTCTTTGGAGTCTGTTTCTAAAGTTTTTCTGTTGTAATATCGCAACTTTCATGTCTGTAATCGCGTGACCAGGGAGATTGAAGTGTTCTCCGACTGGTTTATGAATGTTATAATTCTTGACATCTGATTTGTGTCCATTTATTCTTTTACGTAGAGACTGTCCAGTTTGACCAATATACATGGCAAAGGGACATTGCTGGCACATGATGGCATATATCACATTGGCAGATGTGCAGGTGAACGAGCCTCTGATAGTGTGGCTGATGTTATTAGGCCCTGTGATGGTGTCCCCTGAATAGATATGTGGGCACAGTTGGCAACGGGCTTTGTTGCAAGGATTGGTTCCTGGGTTAGTGGTTCTGTTGTGTGGTATGTTGTCATAAATATAAAGGGAAGGGTAAACCCCTTTGAAATCCCTCCTGGCCAGGGGAAAGCTCCTCTCACCTGTAAAGGGTTAAGAAGCTAAAGGTAACCTCGCTGGCACCTGACCAAAATGACCAATGAGGAGACAAGATATTTTCAAAAGCTGGGAGGAGGGAGAGAAACAAGGGGTCTGTGTCTGTCTGTATGCTGGGTCTTTGCCGGGGATAGACCAGGAATGGAGTCTTAGAACTTTTAATAAGTAATCTAGCTAGGTATGTGTTAGATTATGATTTCTTTAAATGGCTGAGAAAAGAATTGTGCTGAATAGAATAACTATTTCTGTCTGTGTATCTTTTTTGTAACTTAAGGTTTTGCCTAGAGGGGTTCTCTATGTTTTTGAATCTAATTACCCTGTAAGATATCTACCATCCTGATTTTACAGGGGGGATTTCTTTATTTCTATTTACTGCTATTTTTTATTAAAAGTCTTCTTGTAAAAAACTGAATGCTTTTTCATTGTTCTCAGATCCAAGGATTTGGGTCTGTGGTCACCTATGCAAATTGGTGAGGCTTTTTATCCAACATTTCCCAGGAAAGGGGGGGTGCAAGTGTTGGGAGGATTGTTCATTGTTCTTAAGATCCAAGGGGCTGGGTCTGTAGTCACCTAGGCAAATTGGTGAGGCTTTTTACCAAACCTTGTCCAGGAAGTGGGGTGCCAAGGTTTTGGGAAGTATTTTGGGGGGAAGGACGCGTCCAAACAGCTCTTCCCCAGTAACCAGTATTAGTTTGGTGGTGGTAGCGGCCAGTCCAAGGACAACGGGTGGAATATTTTGTACCTTGGGGAAGTTTTGACCTAAGCTGGTAAAGATAAGCTTAGGAGGTTTTTTTCATGCAGGTCCCCACATCTGTACCCTAGATTTCAGAGTGGGGGAGGAACCTTGACATATGTAGTTGTTGGTGAGTATTTGCTTCAGGTTGGGGGGCTGTCTGTAGGCAAGGACTGACCTGTCTCCCAAGATCTGTGAGAGTGTTGGGTCATCCTTCAGGATAGGTTGTAGATCCTTGATAATGCGTTGGAGGGGTTTTAGTTGGGGGCTGAAGGTGACGGCTAGTGGCGTTCTGTCATTTTCTTTGTTAGGCCTGTCCTGTAGTAGGTGACTTCTGGGAACTCTTCTGGCTCTATCAGTCTGTTTCTTCACTTCTGCAGGTGGGTATTGTAGTTGTAAGAATGCTTGATAGAGATCTTGTAGGTGTTTGACTCTGTCTGAGGGGTTGGAGCAAATGCGGTTGTGTCACAGAGCTTGGCTGTAGACAATGGATCGTGTGGTGTGGTCAGGGTGAAAGCTGGAGGCATGTAGGTAGGAATAACGGTCAGTAGGTTTCCGGTATAGGGTGGTGTTTTTGTGGCTATTGTTTATTAGCACTGTAGTGTCCAGGAAGTGGATTTCTTGTGTGGACTGGACCAGGCTGAGGTTGATGGTGGGATGGAAATTGTTGAAATCATGGTGGAATTCCTCAACAGCTTCTTTTCCATGGGTCCAGATGATGAAGATGTCATCAATATAGCACAAGTAGAGTAGGGGCGTTAGGGGACGAGAGCTGAGGAATCGTTGTTCTAAGTCAGCCATAAAAATGTTGGCATACTGTGGGGCCATGCGGGTACCCATAGCAGTGCCGCTGATTTGAAGGTATATATTGTCCCCAAATGTAAAATAGTTATGGGTAAGGACAAAGTCACAAAGTTCAGCCACCAGGTTAGCCGTGACATTATCGCGATTACAGACATGAAAGTTGCGATATTACAACAGAAAGACTTCAGAAACAGACTCCAAAGAGAGATTGCTGAATTGGAATTAATTTGCAAATTGGATACAATTAACTTAGGTTGAATAGAGACTGGGAATGGTTGATTCATTATAAAAAGTAACCTATTTCCCCTTGTTTATTCCTCCCCCTCCCCCCCAATGTTCCTTAGACGTTCTTGTTAAATCCTGGATTTGTGCTGGACATGGCCCACCTTGATTATCATACACATTGTAAGGAGAGTGATCACTTTAGATAAGTTATTACCAGCAGGAGAGTGGGGTGGCGGGAGAGAAAACCTTTTGTAGTGATAAACACCCATTTTTTCATGGTCTGTGTTTATAAAAACATCTGTATTTTCCACAGTATGCATCTGATGAAGTGAGCTGTAGCTCACGAAAGCTTATGCTCAAATAAATTGGTTAGTCTCTAAGTTGCCACAAGTACTTCTTTTCTTTTTCCTGATAATAATGGCTTCCTTTAATCACTGCTGCAAAGTTCTGATGTGCTGTTAAAAGCTGTTTCCTGACAATGTGGTTAGTAGCCAGTCAGTTTAACTGCTTCATTTGCCCAACAGGTTTTACCTGAATGACATAAGTATCTCTGCATCCAGGTTTGGCTAGAACGATGCATGTCTGATATTCTTAGGGCCCAATTCTTCACCCATTTCCTTGGATGTCATGCCCCTTCACTTCAATGGGTAACTGAAGGCACAACCAGAATTTAGGCTTTTTACGACACAATTTGCTCCTCAGCACTGTGGGCGTTCCCATTGGTCTAATTTGGTAAAATATTTTGTTTAAATTCAGCTTTCACGATTAAATTTTATACATACATGTGGTAATTATGCCATATTAGATGTACTTGACAGTGCAGATTTCATAACATGCCACAGACAGGGGGCCATTAAATCCCTTTATTGAAACCAGAAACACTGCATAATTACAGATCTGATGAGGAAACTGCAAACGATATAGACTGCTTCTATTGCCAGCAAAATACAGTTATAACAGGAAGTTTAGACATACAAATATAAAGTGTTTCTTTCATGCCAGATGGTTTGTGTATAACAATGCCATGAGGAGTGTTTAATTGTGCTTCTACGAAACCTTTAAAGAAGGATGAGGTAGAGTTTCCTTTACCCAATATTTTCCCCCCACACATCTGTTCCCTTAATACTTTTATATGCTTGGCTCTTGGTAAAATATCCTGTTAACTTGAACATTTATGAAAGCAGAGACTCTTCAGAGGGGTTTATTTCTCCCTGTTTAAGTTGACAATTTCTCCAACTTAAAACGCCAGAATTCCACCTATTTCTATCGTACATTAATAACCAATTCAGAAACTGATTTGACTGAGGCATTCATCGACCCAAACTTACCACGCTAATGAAAATGCTTTAACATAGCTTCATATAAAACCCCTATTACTGCTCATCATGATAAAGACCCTTCAATATCCAGTCAATTTATACGGCAGCAGCCCAGGCAATCCCACTAGGATGTGAAAGCTGGAGAGGAAAGAGATTAATTTCTTGGCACCATCTTAAATTAAGGGATGACCATAGTTAACAATTATCTAATTCTCCCCTTATCATGAGCCCTCGCCAGCTGCTGGCATGTTAGATAACAGAAAGGTTTTGTGGGCGTGGGATTTGAAAAAGATATGGAACCTTTCCTCTTCGAGGGTTGGCTTGACTCTAGCACCTGACTCTGTTTGGTGGCCTATATGAAGTGAGTTGCTGGTCTCAGTTAAGGTGTCAGGCTCTGATTCAGGAAAGCATGTGCATACCTTTGAGCACTTCAGCTTGTGATCAGCACTTTCCCAAATAGCGGGTCACATCGTAAATCATCACTCCAACATTTGGCACTAATTGACAGTCTTGTTCTCAGAGCCGAATGGGCCTAGAAATACTATGCGGACCCCAGAACAAGACTGACGTACTGCGGTGGAGCACTGCAGGAGAAGGTTATTCTGTCACTGCCCTTGCTGTACCTGTCCTGGGGACAGAAGGCTTTACCCTGGCACCTCCCGCTAGCACTTAGTATTGACTGAAAATCATTGGAAGCCAAACACAATAGGAGCTACATTCGTATTCTAAATAAACTCGAGGATGTGACGGCAACATGGGGTGACACCAAAGACTAGAACCACCGGGGGTTGTCTTGTCTCAGGAGGGCAAAGACCAACTTTGAGGTATAAGAGAAAGGAAAAAGGACCCCTATGTTATCCACGTCACTGAGGAACACCCTTGGTGGAGGGGAAGGCGGGGGTGTGTGATTCATGAATGTTTTGGATCCTGGCTTGACTGAAACCAGCAACTCTGCAGAAAAAGCTGAGGTGAGAGACTATTTTAGACTACAGTTAAGTTTTAATCTAGCAGACGTGTGTTATACTTTTATTTGTAACCTTTGGCTCTTATTACCGTTCCTCGCTATCTCTTAAATCTCTACCTTTATTAATAAATTTATATTTGTTTTGAGTATTAATAGATTACAGTGCTGTGCTCTTGGATTGGAGCTTGTACTCAGTTGAATCAAACAAGCTGGTACTTGTGTTCTATTCCCTTGGGAGTTGCAATCCTCGTAATTACAGAGTGTCCCGTGACAGGGGCTGGACACTATCAGGAGGATGCTTTTGGAGTGGCTCAGGGACTGGGATGTACCTATTGTTAACCTGCAAGGCAAAGTAAGGGCCAGCAGAGCCCAGAGGAGAGTGTTTGAATGGCTGAAGGGCTGGCAGTGACAGGGAGCTGAGAGCCAGCTACCATAAGAAAGACTTCCTCATGCTGGATGCAGCAGGGTAACAATGTGACTCAGAGTCCTGGGTACCCTAAGAAAGTGTCACAGCCATTGCTTGCTTTTCTTCTGGAAACTTCTTAAAGATTATGGGTGGGTTTGGGGTTGCTGGGGAATTTAAAAAAAAAATTAAACCAAATTATTTTAAAATCCATGTATATTTTAAAAAGAAAACCAAAAGTTTGTAAATATTCCTGTACAGAAAGTTATCAGAGGCTCCTCTTTTCTTATCTCAATCACTTTTACAGTTACGCCAGATGTACTAGATCTGACGACGCCTTCAGTGTGTCTGATCCTGCTGGATGGCAAGTATCTCCGATAGCTGCTGAGCACCATCAGCTCCCACTTAAGTCCACTGCTAAGCACCTGGCAGGATCAAGTTCTAAAACAGACTTAAATGTACCAAGAGGACTAACTATTGTATGGATGGAAAGAGAACATATTTTACTTAATATTTTTCCAAAGACATAGTTGGTCATTAACATAAGTGATTCCCCATGGGGGTTATTACAAAGAATTGTACAGGCATTTGTAAATCATGGTTACTTTCTTCTTCAAAGTCTTAGTCTCTTTTCTTACAATAACCTCACCCAGCCAGCAATTCTAAACATTTAGGCAACATAACTTCCAAAACCTAAAGTTAGACTCCTGAATCTTTATCTGGACTCCTGAAAAAATGGCCAAATTTTCATAAGTGCTTAGCACCCAGCAGCTCCCATTGACTGTTAGGGCCCAATTTTAATATCTTGGCCTTAATAATTCAGGTAAAAAATGACTGATAGTGTCTGGTTTTTAAAATCACAATTTTTTAAATGAGCAAACCCAGAATAAATATATCCCCCAAAACATTGATTCTTTCTATTCTTTCTTTTTTTGGTGGGGGGATTTATTTTGTGTATTTCAACACAGGTCTTCCTTCAGATTAAAGGAGAGTCACATGGGTCTATCCACACTGGCACCAGCAGAGTGTTTCAACATGATTGGTGCTAGTAAGGTACTAGCATGGTTCTCTAGCCCATGGGGGCAGAGGGTTTTCTGGGTTTTTTTGTGTCTGAGAAATGACTTTTGCAATTGTGCCACAGACCAAAAAGCATGACCTGTCTGATTTGGTAGCATTTTTCCACCTACTTTGCACTGGTGTAAATGACTGCACAAGGACAATGGACAATCAAGTCCCCATCTGTGCAATTGGGGACACCTATAGCATGGTTTGGCTAATACAGTTGTCAGATTTTTCCATCCTGGTCAGGGAAAATATATTGGAACCTAGGCTAATAAACACCATGTTTAATAAAGGAATAGGTAGGACGATTCTAATACTCATGTTCCTTTATGAATGCAGTTACGGGATAACCTTCCTATATGAGGAAATGTCTTCCTAGCTCCCAGCTTCTGTGCTCATAACAAGGCAGACTTTTTAAGATTTCTCCCATGCCCCCCAAGCCAAAAATATGAGATCACACCACCAATCAGTTAGGTTGCACTATTTCCATTTTGCAGGTGGGCAAGTGGAGTCAAAAAGAGGCTAGATGACTTGCCCATGATTGCAGACTTAATGTCAGAGCCAGAACTGAAACTCTGGAGTATGTGGCTCCTCAGCCTTTGCTCAGACTCCCATCCTTTCTAATATGTGGCCCATTTTGCAAATGGAATCAAAGAACTCAGGGTAAAAAGTTTTTGGCTAGGGTTTTGTGTTATGCTCCAGGTATTAATAGCCTACTCAGCTTTCAGTTATAATTTGGTTAAATACATGGAAAGAAATCAGAATTCAGAGGTATATTTTGCATTTCATGAAGGCCATGAGAGCCCAGACTTACACTTTAGACTAAAGATGTTTTTGTTCATTATATTTAATAGAATTTGAATTAATGGAATGCCCTGCATGTTCTTGTCTAGAGGCTGACCATTTGTAAGGAAATAGAGGTTTAAAAGTTTTCATAAAAGTATTTTGGAAGAAGAGGTTTCCAGACTGGGATGAGTAAAACACCTGCAATAAAATGTATTGTGCAGATAAAAGCCCATCACCTTTTTCCTCATTCTGCTGCTCTTTAATGACTTCCACACTCTTTGACCAGAAATCTGTTTCAGCGCGAAAGAAATTGCCTTTCCAGCACCATAGGGAATTAACTGCAAAGGCCCCATTAATATGAGTTACTGACTGTGCTAAAATTTAGCCCCACGGAGTACCCATGGAAAAATATTAGCAGATGCTTAACACTCACCAGCAGCCAGTTCTTCCCTCCCCCCAGTGCCTCCCACCCACTGGCAGCCCTGCCGATTAACTTCTCCTCCTCCCTTCAGAATCTCCCACCTGCAGGCAGCTCCGCCAATCTACTCCTCCCCCTCCCTCCCAGCGCCTCCTGTGAGCAGCTGTTCTGCGGCATGCAGGAAGCGCAGGGGGGAGAGGAGCAGGGACTGGGCAGAGGTGTGGGGGAAGGGGTGGAGTGGGGGTAGGGCCTGTGCCCTAAGCAGGGGTTGAGCACCCCAGGGAAAGGAAAAAGCTGGCACCTACCTGTACCAACATTACTTGCAAAATAGGTGAGGGGGAGAAAGACCCAGGCGATGACTGAAAGCACAGACACTGACTGCCCAGGGGAGCTATAAATACAAACTTCTTACAAATAGATTTTTAAGGCCAAAAAGAACCGTTATGATCATCTAGTCTGACCTCCTACACAGCATAGGCTGTAGCTCATCCAGTAAACTCTGCATCAAGTCCATAACCTCTGGCAGAGCTACAGCATATTTTCTAGAAAGACACCTCCAATCTTGAGTTAAAGATTCCAAGTGATGGAGAACCCACCCCATCTCTGGGTAAGTCTTCAGTATTAGCCCTGCTTTAGGTATCTGGAATGCCGGTGTGCCTACACTGCAATAAAAGACCCACAGCAACAAGTCTCAGAGCCTGGGTCAGCTGACTTCGGCTCATGGGGCTTGCGTTTTCAGCTAAAAACAGCAGTATAGAAGTTTGGGTTTGGGCTAGAGCTTGGGCTCTGTAACCTGGTGACAGGGGAGGGTCCCAGGCTCCAGTCCAATCATCTGCACTGCTATTTTTAGCCCTGGAGCACATGCCCAAGTCAGTTGGCCCCAGCTCTGAGACTTGCTGTAGTTTTTTTATTGCAGCATAGACCTACACTGTGATACAAGTACACACACCTGCATGCTGCTTTTCTCTCATTATTGGGCCTGTCTCCTCTGTGCACTATATGCAGGGTCATGAAGAGGTGAAAGGAGTCTGAGCGAGGCCTGGAAGATCAATCACTGTGTCATGCTCTGACAGGGCATTGCAACATTTGCTCTAGGACGTTGCATTGTTACATACTGAAGCAAAGGAAAGGGGCTAAGTGATCTGAGGAGATTACATAGGTTGCTCTATAGATAACACTGGACAAGAGTCCCTCCTCTCCTTCCCCACTGGTGATGGGTCTGTGAAATAGCTCTCAACTCTTGCCCCTTCTGCCTTGCCCACTACCAGTCGCTTGGACACGAGGGATGGTTCACATATCGGTATGTCTGCACATCAAGCTGAAGGTGCGACTCGCAGCTCAATGAGACATACCCACACTAATTCTGACTGAGCTAGCATGCTAAAAACAGAAGCGCAGCTGTAGTAGTTTAAGGAGCTAGCTTCCCTGTGTACAATCCCTTCTAAGACCCTGGGCCTCTGTTCGGATGGCTAGCCCCTCCTGCTGCTCCCACCATCGCGGCTTACACTCTGTTTTTAGCATGCTAGCTCTATCAGTGCTAGCATGGGTATGTCTCCTCAATCTGGGAATTGCACCTCTAACTTGAAGTGTGGACACACCCTATTGTGTGTCCATTCCCACCAGCACATGCTGAACCCTTACCTTTCAAATGCCCTATTTTTCAGATTGCCATTCTCCAGGTGTAATATAGAATAAGGACAAGAGAATCACCAGCACTTAGGCAGGGAAGGTTCAATTATATCTCCCTGCACTCCAGTGGTGATTCATCCAGAAAAAGGGCAGGTGGTATTGCCACTGCGGTCCCTCAGGGATTTCTGCTCGGGGATGTGGGCAGACTTAGCTTATGGCTGGGGTTTTCTGGGAATCCTTCTCATGGACGCTGTTGAAGATTATATTGAGTGAGAACATCCAATGGCCATGTCCCCCTGGCCAACATCTCCCATTTTTTGGTCCTTGCTGCCCTCCTAACTCCCCGGGCAAGGAAATTACTTTTGCTTTGTGCTGCCACAACCTCCTCTGGATGGACTTTCTACCCTGAGGATCCTTTGCCAGAGTTCTCACTAGAATAAATAATTGTTACCCCTGGGTGTATTTACCCTGAACTGCTATTACGAATATGGCAATGCAGTGACAGCTGCTAATTCCACAACTCCTGCATCATCAAGGTTTGTATAAAACACTAGTTTTTGTGGACCTCTGAAATGGGATCTCATTTTTAGGACTTTTTTCCCGACAGAAGAATAGCTGAAACTAAACTGAAAATTAGGAACATGCTCAAGGCTGAAAATAATAATCAAAGAATGAAGTGGGGGAAAGAAAGAACTTGCAAAAATTATAGTTCATCATTATCATTTTAAAGTACCACTGTTTGTAAAGCATACACATGTGAGAGGCTGAATCGCATTTGATCAACCCAATTAAACATTAAATAATTGCAGCCAATTATGCAAATATCACACAATTATTAATTTGTTGATCTTTTCTGAACAGCCTCAAATGTTCCTAATGTTAGACTATCTTATTTCTTAAATGATCAATTAGTGTAACCATAACTAAGTGATGAAGAATGGATAATTGCCTAGTTATGATGTACCATAGCCTTTCTATGTTAATCTGCTACAATTAAACAAATAGCGCTCATGGAAAAGAGATGTGCAGATGTTCTTTTACAATCTATCAGCTCAGGGAATAGCATGGTTCCTTCCTAAACTTTATGGGCTAAAATAAGGAGAACACAGTATCTCTCAAGTGCTCACTGTTATTTACAAATGTTATTTCTTGGAATTTTATGATAAAAGGATAAAATAATACAGATGCAGAACACAGGCTATGTATTTCCACACAGGATTGTCATGCAAGATCAAAATACTCTGCTGGTTTATTTAGTATATAATGTTTAAAACCTGGAACCTATTCACCCAGAGCCTGAATGAAAATAATCAAGGCTGTTTGAATTCATTAAGAGGGAGCAAAAGTATTCACAGAGGTGACACCAGCTGACTGGGAGCGCTCCACATGGTTTCACTTTTTCTCTAGGAAATAGCTCAGATTTTTGTGGACCTTCCAATTTTGTCCTCTGTTAGCCCTTGCACTTTTGAGGTCTCCAGCAGTATAAGAGGTGAAGAGGTAAGACAGGAGGTCTAACTCAGGTCTCCCCAAAAGTCAGTGTAGACCACCCCAAGTACAGGCCAATGTCAAGCCCCACTTAAAATTATTGTAGTCTGATTTAAGAACAGTTTCACTCACCTCTTTAAGGAGTCAACCACTCTAAATCAATCATTGTAACTGGTCTTCATTTCTTCACTCTGACTTGTGAGTAGATTACTGTCAGCACTGTCCATGGGGAATTTGATTTGCAACTTCTTTTAATACTATTGATATCTCAAGTATGGGAGTAGCACATCCAATTCCCCAGGCATCTCGTTAAACCGAACCACCTAGACTTTTGCTATCAAAGACAATTATCTAAGCTAAACGTGAGGGAACAGGTTACAGTCCAGCAATAGGAAGCCATTTAGTCTCACTCATGATGTAACCTTGTATGAGTTCTGTGACACACACTCTAGTCAAAGGCACTCCAGTTGTGGTACTTGCCTTGTTGGAAAAACGCTTTTACCCCACATCATATCTCAATGTGTCCCCCATGTTAATTTTTCCAGTAGATGAATAACAAACCAACAAAAACCAACAAACTAACAGTGGCCTATGATACATCGCAAGAAACTGAACAGAGAACAGAGAGCAGAGTACTACTGCTACCATAAATGAAATAGCATTTTGTGCTTGTAGGTATAGTCTAAATAGAACACTGTCCAACAACTCACTCTGAACAATTGTCACTGGTAACCTTCAACTGTTCTTCAATAAGGTATCAGAAGAGACTACAGAAAGATGTGTCTAACTCACCACTCATGGGACCAGCAGAAAATGATGGCCTAGTAGAGACTGAGGGTTAATGTTTGACCAAATATTGTACAAGAAACCCCTGTGGATAATTTTAAGTGGTGGCTTAAAACAGGGGGCTGCCCATTAGAGATGATGCTTAGTATATTTTACATTGTGTTAGCAATTGCTAGTTAGAGGTGGGGTCTGTTAGAAAGTGTGGGAGAGAAACTCTTCCCCCCTTATTAAAAAAATACTAGTTAGTTCCCAAAATACTGCTGTATGGCTAGTGTAAAATGTAGGATTTGATTTTATGCAGGTGTAACTCCATTGACAGCTATGAAGTTACATCAGTTATATGCCAGAGTAACAGAAGAAGCAGGCCCCTAGCATTTTGGAGTATTGCTACAGAATACTGTAGTTCCTTTTTGGCAAGAGACATCTTAAAACTAGTTGAGAAAAGTGTGCGCATAGATGAGAAAGCTTATATGGATGGTGGCATATTTAAGGATTAAAGAAAAGGTGCAGAAGTTATTAATTTTCCTAATTGCGAGCTAACAGCTCTGTATCTGCTTCCAAATAGCAACAAGAGAGTGTATCTTGAGTCAAGTGGTGTATGAAGAGGTAAGGGAACATGGTAGTGCAGAATGACAAAGGGTGAACGAAATCCCTCTGTTCTCCTGCACTGAGCACTTTCCACTGGCAAGCAGGGGAAGATGTAGGAGAACCCATACTGGAAAGCCATGGCCTCTTCAGAAAAATAGAAAGATCATATTAAGAAACGAGTGGGCCAGCCAGGCCAGGGAGCACTGTAAAGCCTTGGGTGGGGAAAGATCACTACTAGCTCTTGTAAGCTGATTTAGGAGTGCTGTTGCTGGGCTCTGAAGGGATTTCCCCCAATTCATCATCATTCTAAAGGAGCGGTTGCTCTGACTTGGGGCCTAAAAGGTGAGGGTATGATGTTGGCAGAATAAAAAACAGGGGCTCCTCAGGGCTCTGGGAATGCAGCGAGGAACCTCCCACACAAGTGGAGTAACAGAGAAAAACAATCCATTGCCTGAGGATGCAAATGAAATAGGACTAAAGGATAGTAACTGTTCTCCTAAGTAATGGGCAACTTTTTTTATATGGCAGTCTGCTCCGGTAGTGGTGGCAGTTGAAAAAACACCGTGGCTTACACTGAAGAGCAGTTGAAGAGTATTTGACAAGTTTTTGGACTGTACATAAGACACAAGGAGGCACAAAGAAAACAGTTGGGACAGTTCTATTGCTTACATCTAGCACCTCTAACAAGAAGATAGGCTTCTATTAGCAAGACTATGGTATCAATCATAATGATTGTGTTCACATTCCCTGGTATGTGGAAACAATCACCCTGGGGAGGAAAGGGAGAACACTGACTACCCTACGCACAGCTCTAAACAGGCAGCTACAGAAAATCGGCGATTGTTCTGGTGTAATGGTTTGGCCTGTCGGGTAGAGTACAGAAGGTCTGATCCCCGCCACTCTGCATTCATGACACCAGGAGTGTCCATTCGCTGTCTTCTCTTCCATACTGAAACAAAAACAAAGAACATATTTCAGGAAATAAAGGTAACTCTGCACCAACAAAATTTTCCCAGGACCTGATTCTTGTTCACTCTAAGGCCCTTTTCCACCACTCTGGCAGGGTAAAGGGACCTGTAGGGAGGAGTAATTATAACTTACACCCACTTCAAAGCTCCTTTCCACTGCCATAGCTGCCCCCCATAAAACAGATTATTTGTGGTTTTATTCCTTAGCTTCAGTCTGTGTTTTAAACAAAGCTGAAGGCAGTTTGACACTTTATCCATCTCTACGTGAGTAGGCTGTGAAGGGGTGAAGATACTCTCCTGTGAGATGATATAAAGCAGACCAGTCCTGCTTTGATGGAGGTGTCTATGCATTTAATACAACCTGTGTTAAAAGTTCCGCAACTATTCTCTGTGGCCATTTTACTAATCTGCTCACATGTGCAGCCCCTGCTCAGGCCCCAGTATGCAATTGCGTCTATTTTCCCTTTTTTTAAAAAGTAGCTTTTTATTACATCTTTTTTTATTAAACCTGAAATAAATCTAACCACAAATACCACAGAGTAAAATTAGAGAAGATGTTACACCAACATAGTAAACCAAATAAAACAGATCTACTGTGGATGAAGAATGAGTCTGCTCTCACTGTGTAATAAACAGGGTTACAGAAGGCAGGGATGAAAAAGCCCTACCATCTGTCTCTTCAAGACAGTCCCAGGGCAGAGGACAGTTAGCTATTACACTGACACTGCATTTGATCTTAAACTGAAGGTAAACAGTTCTAAGGCTCTCGGTCACAAACCCTGTAATCAGACACAGCTCATTCATTTAGGTAAATTATATGTGGACACAGGTTAGTAGTAGATGGAGCACTGGATCCTCCTGAGAGAGGGCATGGAAACTCTCTGCAACAATGGGACAAGGAATTGTTCAGAGTCCAGAGTGGGCTGGAAGGGCCATTTGTGACTGTCTGGCCACAGAGGGTGGAAGGAAGTTACCTTTCAACTTCTACATAAACACTGAGGGAGACCATGGCGGACCTGGGTGGAGAAAGGACTATTGCTATACAAATTAGCCCTGGGAAGGGCCAAGAAAAAGACTATTCGAGCCCAGGAGGGCTGAACATTGTTTTGGGTTTGGACTTTTGTTTATCTTTGGAAGGTGAGGACTTTGGCTTTTAACTAGCGAGTCACGTGTACCACGAAGGTGAAGGTAAAGCCCTGTTACAGTGAGAGAAACAGCGGTAAGAGTAGAGAGATGGCAAATCAGTAAATGATGTGGGATTGTGGTTAAGGGGCAGGTGGAGGTAAAGTCTAATCTCAAATATCGGTCATGTCTACTCAATTATTACTTATATTACAATAGCACCTAAAAGCCCTGACATCAAGTCCCACTGTGCTAGGTGCTGTACGTATACATAGTATGAGACAGTCCTTGCCGTGAGGAGTCTACAATCGAAACAGACAGACAAACGAGGGAATTAGTATCCTTGCTTTACAGATAAAAGAGGCAGCATAGTAATGAAATAATTTGCCCAAAGTCATACAGGGAACTGTGGCAGACCCAGGAATGGAACCCAGATCTCCTGACTCAAAAGCACTGGACTGGGATTCAGATTATCTCTAGACTTCACCTGTGGGTCAGACTAAGATGACAGAGAGCTGAGGGCAGCGGCATACGGAAAGCACTGTAGTCTATACATCTTTAGTAGCCCAGTATACTCACTGAAATGGAGTGTGGAAGCATGGAGACCATATGAGAAAAACCTTAGGGCAGAAGAGCAATCTAAAAGATGAATTCCCAAGAAGAGGAAAAGCTCTTGGCTTGTTACTGTGTTCACTTGAAGAAACAGCATTTGGGAGGGCTGCCTTTGAAGGCTAGTGGCTGAACAGCTGTCTGTACAACACAACACCACAATGTCTTCTAACAGTCCTTGGGGATATTTCCTCTCCTTGTTGCTAATTCTGCTATCACTGGACAGAGATTTGCAGTGCAGCTCACAGAATGTGTAACACCATGCTCGAAAAGCAGGGTTCCATTCATGACATTTACAGGCCAGTTCCTTTTCCCTACCATGGGTGCTTCATGCTTCCCTGGCATTGCAAAGCAACCAAATGCCAGTTTAACCAAACAGTGCAAGATTCCCCCAGCATGGGCTAATCCCTGAGTAGAAAAGAGACGCTGTAATGTAGAAACTGGAGAAAAGGGAGTTGGCTCTAACCCTAGTGATCCTTTACTATTGGAACAGCCCCTTGGGGGTCCTAGGCAGTTGGTATAAGTCACAGCAGCTGTGAGGCTCCTCTGATTCACACTAGAAATTGGCCTGGCTCAAGCACTGGGCAATGAGGCACCATAAAAGCTCCTGTCTCCCTTCACATCCACCCAAGCTGTACTGAGCAGAGGCTGCATCAGCAGTTTCCATTAAAAGAGGTGAGTTCTTTATGCTGACGTTTACTCTGCTAATTAGGATAACTACTGCTATTAATTCACCTGTCAAGTAACTGAGTGAAACTCAAAAAACTTGGGAATTTATCTGAACCTCCAGAAACTGCAAAAATGGGCAGGATATCTCATGAAAACAAGCTCTCTTGTGAGACTTCCAGTACCTCCTGCTTCTTTTTGTAAGATCAGACTTCAGTGTCTCACCCTGTTCAGAACCAAGAAATGCAGAGGTGCATAAAACTGAAATCACAATCCAGACTCCCATAAATTCCCTGAAAGGGTCAGTATGGATTCATTTTTTTTGCCAAAGGTTTGTGTTCATTCTCAGATTTTAGAAAGGAAGGATGGTTGTGCAGTTAAGACACTATATTGGGACTAAGTAGATGAGATTCTATTTCTGGATTGGCCACAGACTTCCTGTGTAACCTGGGCAAATCACTCAATCTCTGCTCCTCAGGTTCTGATCTGTAAAATGGGGATAACAATACTTACGTCTCTAGCCAACCCTCTCTACCACTATTTTCTCAGGCTTGCCTATTTAGAGTAGCAGGACTGTCTCTTATTATTATATATTTGTACAGTGCCTAGCAAAATGGGGCCCTGATATTGATCATGTCCTTTAAATTCTACCCTAATACAAATAATAATTTCACCTGAAACTGTTCACCTATCCCACCCAAATTGCTTTCCGATCTACACTTTAAAAATAAACAAGCTTTCACTGCATCCTCCTTAAAAATACAAATCATCATGAAGAAAGCCATAAATAATCTACAATATTTAGGACCACTGGCCATATTAGCCAAAACATTCAGGGCTTTTTATTTAGGGAAGGAGATTGCCAGCATTGATTGGCATTTCAGAGGCAGTGCAATTCCCAGAGAGAACCTCATCTTTAAATCCTCTAACTCAAGCTGTTAAAGAACACAGTATTCTGTGATTGATGCATTCATAACCACACCAGTACCATACACAGAGTAAATTATTTCATCTAAAATCTCTATGGATCTTTAGTGATCACAATTTCCGTTCAGTGACACAAGTGTAAACACATATTGCAGTGTTCCCGTCTCTTGCTACTGCCGTGAGAAATGTAATCAGTTCTGCCCACAGAGTTCTAATTAGTCATTCTAGTGCTACTTCTCACTGAACAGCTGTTCAAATCCAAGTAAATCCTGTTGCACATGGAGGATTGTGGATTACAAAAAACAGTAAATGGCAGGAAAACAGATCTGGGTGCAAAATAATCAAAGAAATCTGAAAATGTTGAACTAGCATGTATTGCACACAAGGGAACTGGATGCCAGCGGTGATTAGTAATTGGATACGGAGCGATTCACCTCTAGGTTACTGGTTCAAATGCAGCACTCACCGTTGGAACTGAAAGTGCCTATCATCTAATCACTGTCAGTTGGCATACACAAAATGAATTAGTAGTCTCAGTCCAGCTCCTCATATAGAGACCACTATGACAAATGGGCCTAATTCATACAGCATCTTTATGCAGAAGAACACACAAGCCCTTTACATGCTAAATACAAATATATGGGAATCATTTCCTCTAACACAGAAATGCTCCACACCTCCATGGTGGAATGTGGAAGCTGCTTAGCAGAGCACAGCAAACAGTACTGTATTCCACTGAAATTAAATGGGGAGATTTTTTTGAGGGGGAATCAGAATGTAAATGATCCCCGTGAAATGGGAGCTGCCTGTGATAGTTTATCAGCATTATGTGTTCCATCTGCCACTTTGATTATTATTGTGTTGTTTGCTATATGATTATTAAGGGTTATTTTTAGCATGGGTTAGTTTGCAGGTAAACAGGAAAATGGAGAAGCCCACCTGATAGCCACCAATACTTCAAGGGACAAAGCAGGTGTTACTGCCTCTGAAGTTTATCTCAGACCATGCTGGGTTCGACACCCTTGCCTTGGCAGAGGAGAGGGGAAACCCAGGCAAAAAATAAACAAAATTTTGTAGTGGATAAAAACCTGAGTCCCTGAAGCTCAGGTGACAGGGATGCAGAGACTGCAGGTGTGCAAACTGTCTCCCCACCCCAGTGGTGGGGTGTCCGGATAAGCGAGGCCTACCTAAGCTTTAGGTAAGACAGGCGTGCATATAGGCTGTTTGTTGTGTTGAAAACCCTTTTTGCCTTCTTATGCTCCTGTTGTGATCAAACAATACTTTGTTTCGAAAAGGTGTAGAGACTACCCTGGGTGGTGTCCATGAGGGAACTGGAGACAAGCCTAGGACCCACAATGGTGGATCTGTGCCATCTGAGATTTCTGTCACAGAGGGGGAATCCAGCAGGGCACAGATTCAACAACTTTCTAGCCGCTTTGTGTCAGCAGGGTGGTGAAAAGCAGCTGGGACAGAATCTATATGATAGTATGCATGTGTGAAACCTGCAATAAATAGAAGAACAAGAACCCAAAAGAACTACTGAAACTACCAAAGTTGCCCGACTGTCCCTAGTCCAAGGCTGGTGCACACTACCTGATTTAAAAAATGAAGGGTTAGTGGAATGCTAATCATTTTATTTTATTTTTAACTACTCTATTGTACAACACATTGAATATCACATTGTAAATCTCAGTATGTTAGCCAGGGGATTCCAGGTGAGTCAATAGCAGACAATGGGCCACAATTAATGAATGACTCAATCTGACAATTTTTTGATGGCTGTATCAGTTCATGCACACCAGGTGAAGCCCTTACTAAAGATTTGCAGAAGAGTAATTAAAAATTTAATATAAAAGCCCTGATAGATTCAAGGGATCCATATTTAGTATAGATATTGCAACACATCTCACAATGTTTTATTAGGATCACCAGTTCAGCAGCTCACCGGCGGGAGGATAAAAACCTTAGTGGCAACATCTAATGTGCTTCTTAAGCCACAGACCATTAACTCTGGGACAGTTATGAAATAACTATAGCAACCCAGATCAGAAGAAATACTATGAGAAGAATGCCAAAGAGTTACTGCCATAGTAAGCAGGAGAGAATGTTAGCTCTCAAACGAAGTGACTTGCAACCTGTCAAGGTAACAGCTATTCTATCCATGCAGAGGTCATATATCATTCACCACCCCCTACAGGAGAAAGAGAAGACATCTAAATAAATCAAGGAGGACACTGGTGCTCAGCTTCTTGAGGATGTCCAGAATGCTACTGACAGTCTTTGTGCACTGACAGATGTAAAACATGCCTCTCTAGATATTGAGAGCAAATAAAAGTGCCAAATGGTAGATCCCTCTTAACATACAACAAGCCACTAGAGGAGGAACTGCTTTGGGAACAAGTAGTGGCTTCATGATCAGAAAGACATTGAGCCTACAAGATAGCAGTTACTGGCCAATATCTAATACCATTTCCACCATCCAAGACATCATTTTGTGGGATTTTTAAAAATTGATTGGCTGTACTATTTTGTGGAAGTCAGTTTTAGTTGATATTAGATTTTATCTGACTGTGTATTTTTTTTTAAGGGAAGATGAAACAGCTGCCACTGGAGTTTCTGGATAATGATCGGGTATAACTTTTTATAATCCTAGCCCATGTCATGAGACAAGTACATAAACATCAGTCTTTTACAAGCACTCCTGTATTTCACACCTGTATTAAAATCACTGTTTCAAGATGAAAGAGGAAGGGCAAGTTTTGAGGAGGAAAATAGCATCCCTCAGTGATATGTAGGGTAAATATCTTCCTGTACCATCCCTTACCATTGATAATCTACCAAGGTTTCAGTGCCAGGGGAGGTGGGAGAAAGTCTATATTTTGGTTCCTGGAGCCTGTAACAGAAAAACTATTCAATCTATTTCACCCTTTCATTATGTTATCATACCAAAGAAGAGAACCCCTTACTTGGATATCAGTCAGCTGATTCAGGAAGCGGGTTGCTAACTGAGGTCCATTCTCCATAGTTGGAATGTGCAAATTCTAGGATGGAATTAAAATGAGAATAATTCCTAGGTCATCATGTACAGTCAGATAACAGCCGCAGCAAGTACATACATATAAAAATGCCTTTTAAATCTGAGGATCTCAAAGCATTTCACAAACATTAATTAAACCTCACACCACTCCCATCAGGCGAGTAAGGATCATTAATACTCATTTTATAGGAGACACAGGAAGCTCAAGGGTCAGCTGCCATTCACGTCAACTGCACTACTTCTATTGACTGTAACGAGAGTTGGTTTAGGCCCCCCTCAGTGACTTGGCCAAAGGAGTGGCAGTAGAGCCAGGAATAGAACCCAGCTGCTACTGGAGTCCAAGCAAGGACTAATCATGACACCACACTTACCTTCTTGCTCAATCAGTAAGACTTGAGGAGGAGGGCAGTCAACTCAAAGAAGCACCTTTCTGTTTACTACCTACACTGTATATGGTGTTAAAACAACTACATTTACAATAATTTTCAACATCTTAATGTTTCCCATTCATATCTCAAAAGCCTGATTGTATTAATAGATATAGTCCATCTGTCAGAAACATCATTTTCTACACTGTTATTTTATTTGTTCTTTTGGCTATCTTCCCAAAGAAACATATCAATATACCTTGGGCTGGATTCATTGGTCTGCTAGGTTCATTTTATGCAATGTAAGCAGTGCAAAGTGAACTTAAACAGGACAGAGAAATGCTCTACAGAATTCCCCCTGTTCAGGAGGAATTTCCCAGCTGGTGTATAGTAGACAGAAACAGTTATGCCATCTCCTGTACCAGCTCTGCCATCTGTGTCCTCTCCAACAGAGCTGTGCTGCCTGGTATAAGGGGAAGGATTAAGTCAGGCATGGGATGGGGTTAGGAAGGAGACTATTAGGGGATGGAAGGGGAGTGGTCATGGTGGAGCAAAGCCATGTTCTCTGTATGCTGATGGAAGAATTTAAAATCTCCTCCTCTGCCATTTTAATTTACACCAGGGATGGGCAGAACAGAATTGAGGAACTGTGACTGGCTGACAGCCTCCCCATTAAAGGAAGATTTGACTGCAAATCACATCACGTAGCTGGCTGAAATGCTTCTAATTGCAAAATTTGGATTAAATTTCAAATTTTGATTTTTTTTGTATGAATGAATTTTTTGACTTAAATTTAAAATAAATTTCTCCCCACCCCCACCCCCTTTTCAACCAACTATAGAGCTGGTAAAAAAAAATGAAATTCTGAAATTTCAAATTAAACACAAAAAAGAGGGAGGGGGAATTTTGAAAAAAAAAATCAGTTTTCCCCAACTTGAGAGGAAGTTGGGAAGAAGATAGGAGGCAATATACTGATAAGATACTTCCTGCATGAGCCTCAGACAATGCCAAGCTGTAATTATCTGGGGAAGAAAAAAATAAACACAAATACTTTCCTTACCTTGCCTTTGTATAATATTTTAGAAATAGGGCATACGACACAAGCTGTCCCAGCACCAAACATCTCCTTCACTCTGTTTTCCTCCAAGGCAGCTGTCAGATCACTCATGGTGATGTACCGCTCAGACACTTTAAATTCTCCCTGCGCCAGAGATCAGAAAGACAGAACCAGAGCATATGTTCTTAAAGGTCGTAATTCTTTCCTTACATTAGACACCCGTAATTGTATCACAGAGGTGATATTTTTAATGAACTCAGTTGCAGCCAGTCAATTTTCAGTTCTCATAAGGCTAAGCAAGGCCTGGTCAGTAGTTAGATGAATGACCTCCAAGAAAAACCCAAGATCTGTAAGATGTGATGATGGCAATTCACTAGGTGGCACTTTCCCCTCAAATTTGGAACTGAACCTCAACACGGTGTTCAGGAACACTGTGCAGCCGCAGCAGAACTTTTGGATGAGATATAAAACAGAGGACCTGTATGCCTTTGATCATTGCTGAGCTTACAGTACTTTGTGCATGAGAACTTGTATGCAAGTACAGATTTGGAATCTGAAAGAATACAGGTGCTAGTGCATTATATCTATGGCTGGACTTAAGGCTGCACCTTGGTTGCTCAGAATGAAGGTGGAGACACATGGGCTATAGGTGGTGGAACAAGGAGCTGATGAGTAGAATGTAGATGGGGTGATGAATGACAATTGCTTATTTCCTTACTTTAAGCCAATTGTATTAACGGGATATGGGGTCTGGCAACTCTCACACAAAGTTAATGAAGATTTTTGTGTGGGAATGCTAATTGGGAACTAGTTAAACAGACTGCATGTGGCTCTGTGGAACAAAGGCTAGTGTTTGGGTGGTTTGGCCAAGACTTTTTAATTTTAACATGCTTCCCCAGTTCATATTTGGTTTAAAGGATCAGGTGGAACTGTGAGCCATTACTTGAATGCAATAAATGAGTTATTTTCATAACAGTGTATCTCACGGTTGTTAAAATTGCTACTATTGAGGGACAAGGCAAACACCCACCCACTTGCGTGCCAGCTCCAAGATGCTCTGCCTCGTCACTCCAGGAAGAATGATGCCATCTAACGGTGGGGTTGCCAGTTCCTCTTCTGTTGAACCAAAAATACAAACAAAATAAAATATTTAAATGAGAGCAGAAATATCAGATACCAACATGCAATATCCGATATCATAAGATACAAACATTGGTTAGAATTTCAGATGCAGTTTCTAAATTGCACAAACTCAGTTGGATGCCACCCGTTTTGAATCTATGCATATATCTGAGGGCAGGTCTACACTTCAGCCTACGCTGATACAACTTACATAGCTTAGGGGTGTGAAAAAGCCCCCTCGAGTAACGCAAGTTTCGCGCTACTTCACCAACTTTGGAATCATCAAATTTGATCATGTCTGAATGTACATACTCCTCTTATTAGTGAAAAGAAGAAATAATATGGGCCTCAATATGGAACCCTGTGACACACTTGATACTGTTCCGTCTTCAGAGGCTTTACCATGAATGGTGGAGCGGGATGTGTATAAGATCCAAAATATACTTTGGTTGCTGTGAATTATTTTGAAAGCTTGCCAGGCCAGCTGCCAAACAGCATGGAGTTGATAGAATATGAGAACCTGCAAAATGTTTTAAACTGCCAGCTTTACATAATTTTGTCAAGTCTGCATATTATGTCTACCAGCCTGGGGTCACCTAGAGGAGCATCTGCCTCCCTTGTTGCATGTCATCATCTCCGTCTGGTACCATGTGTGTACCAAATGTGGCTCCATACGCATTCAGCTTGCCCATCTCTGGGAACTCGGACTATGAGCTCACAAACCCCATTTGTCTTTTCATGGGAGAGACATTTTGATAAGCTGTAAACTCCTGGATTTATATTAGCACATAGGAAAAACAGCCCTGTGTGGGAAAACTTCCTCTTCGTCTGCTTTTATTGATTTTTATATATATTTATTTGTATTGCGGTAACTTTCCAGAGTCCCCCATGATTTATGGAGACAAATGCTTTAACTTAGTAGACGAACATCACATAAAGACCATGGTTTTGCTCCCAGCACTTTTCCTGACGCTGACAGGCTGTGAAGATCACATTTACAGTGCCCTGTCCAGATCCAGGCATGATGGTTCCCACAAGATAGGTGTTAAGTCAACTCCGTATGACCAGTGCAATAATTTCCCCAGCAACAGAGAGAAGGGAAATGCCCTAGTAATTATCAGAGTTTGCCCATTCACCTTTATGTTTATAGAGGTGGACAACGGGGGCGCCCTTGAAATTCTGTGGCACTGCCTCTTGCTCGATTTTTTGTTCATCTTTGGAAAGTTTCTTTCTGTTATTCCATCCTTCCATGAAGGGATGATGGCCAGAGTGGTGGGAAATGGGGAGATATCAGACCCCTTTCTGGTCACCAGTGGCACAAAACACTGTTGTCTGTGCTGGCTGCCACAGTCTTTTCCATCCTTCTATTGGCTATGCTTATGGATGCATTTCATGACACTGACAGAGGAGTATTTACCCAGCTCTGCAGTGTTATAAGGTGTTTAATTTTCAACGCTTCTGTTCTTGCATGAAAGTGGCAGATTTACACATTAAGGAGCTTTAATTTGCTGATTACTGTGCACCGGTTGCTCACTCGATTGATGATGTTCAATTAATAACTGATCACTTTACTTGTACAGTGAATCACTTTGGCTTCACAATCAATCTAAAGAAAACTGAAGTACTGTACTGTAACAGGATCCATGACCCACCCCTCTTCCTGGGACCTGCTTGCTGCCCCAATAAGGCTCAGAGAGGCTTCAGGATTGTGCAACACCCATGTCTTTATTTACTTACAGTTATCCCACCACCAGTGTCTATCTATTTACAAGCCTTGCAGGATTACTCAACCTCTTTTACAGGCAGAGTCAGCCTTCAGTTAGGAGGCCTCTAGTTAGTTAGTTAGTTAGTTAGTTAGTTAGTTAGTTAGTTAGTTCCTTCCTTCCTTCCTTCCTTGACTGACTGCTCCCTGGCTGCCCCTCAGCCTTCTCTTCTGGCTCCCTCCCAGCCTTTATAGCCCTTGGCTTGTCAGGCCAGCAGGTGTTGCCAATCCTAAGGCCAGCATCAGGCCTTTTCCATTAGCCCCAATCTGCTTCCCTTGCTTGGAGCTGACTTGGCAGGGGCTAATTAGGTGCTTTTGCACCAGCACCTTGCTACATGTACCAACACATGTCAGGGGATGCAGTTGTCTACCCAATTATTAAGATAAAGGATGGTCTTCTCCAGTCCATGGAGAAGTTCTGCTACCTAAGGAGTATGTTGTCACAGAATGCCACAACTGATGAGAAGATTACCGATTGCATAGCCAAGGCCAGCTCTGCATTTGGAATGCTGTCACACCACTTATGGAATTACAGGGGTGTTAAGATAAGCACTAAGCTAAACGTCTATTAGGCAGTCATGCTGGACAACATATTGCTGCTATATTAGGAAACTCGATCAGTTCCATATGCACGACCTTCGGTCTGTTTGCAGGGTCAATTGGTGAGACAAGAAATACTCAATTATTGTCAGAGGGCTGACATTCAAAGCATGCTCAAAAAAAGCTCAGCTATGCATTGGTCTTGGCATCTCGTTTGTATGGCAGACTCAAGAATACCCAAGGCCATATTTTCTGGTCAGCTACAGGAAGGCACCGGCTCTCATGGTGGCCAGTACAAACAATATAGACACACTGAAGTCATGCATGAAAGCATATCAGCCAATCCCAGTCACTGGGAAACAACAGCCCACAACAGAGCAAGGTGGCAGCAGACTTGTCATGTTGCTGTTAACTGCTTTGAAGCAAGGTGCATCATCAACACCCGAGGTGAAAAACATGAACAGCGCAAAGCAAGGCCACAACAGCCTGCAATGGTCATGGACACTCTTGTCTGTCCTCCATGTAACCAGGCTTGCAATTCTCACGTTGGTCTGAACTCACATATACGTGTTCATTTATAGTGTTTGCTGAATGCTCATATGTTGACACTGATGTGAGACTCCATTGTCATTACTGCAGTAGCACTGAGAGGCCAGGGCCCCGTTGTGCGAGGCACTGAACAAACATGTACCAAAGAGACCATCCCAGATCTGGGGAGCTTAACATTGAAGTGATTTTAAAATTGCATTTTCATGAACAACATAAGCTTCAAGTCTTTCATGCAAGTTGTCAAGGCTGAATCCCCACTCTGGCACTTCGAGTGCAGAAGATGGGGGCCAGCAAGGATTTTAAAAATTAATACTGGCCAATTGTATTAAACTCCCAAGGTTACAGCTTTTCTCTGACCTTTGCTTGGTAAACGCTGCCACCACCCAAATGCAAAAAACCCTAGGAAGGAGCACTTGGGAATTCCTCCCTCAAGCCCATTCATCCCCCTCCCCCCAGGGAAGAACTGAGAAAGAAAACAAAGGAAATTAGCTGTTGCTACCAGCTAATCAAACAACATGCACAAACCTCTTAGGACACCAAAAATCCAATCCTGTTTTTTAAAAAAGGTAAATGTTATTAAAAACCAAAAGGAAGAATATACACCTGGAACTTAGGCTTTTCCTAGATTTTAAAAGAGCAATTCTAAAAATTAAGCACCCAAAATAGCTTTCTTGGAGGTTACAAGCATACAAAAACATCTGGGGTTAGTACAGAGGAGTCCACAAGCCAAAATAAAGAAATAAACCTGATCGTGTCTATCTAAACATTCCTAATTTACTTACATATTTGGGGGATTTCAAATAAGTAATTCTAGGTATGATCTGATGATTTCTCATACCTGGCTTAAAGCTTTACACAGCGTTCCTGCTGCCCTCTGTTCCCCTCTTTCCTGGAGAGACACAACAGACATAAAGGGAAAGCTTCTTTCCCAATTTTAAAAAGTTCTAGCTCTTTTGGTCAGGTGCCCACTCCTTTTCTTTTACCTGTGGGCTTGTTAACCCTTTACAGGTAAAGCAAGCAGAGAACAGACACCAAGAGGGATTTTATAGCTAACTGGCTGGCTGGGTGTCCATAAAAGGGAGCTACACCCCCTTCATTTATCACACAAGTATTTATGAACATGCACTGATTGATGCATATTGGATGAATTTAGGGCTAGGTAAATTACTATAACACTGAGAAAAACACCAAAATGTTTGCAGGGGTGGGGCCACCAAGAGAACTTCTGGGTCACATAGGCCTCAGGAAGCTCTGGGGTCCATACCCTATTATAATCCTCTTCTCCCCTTCCCTCTGTGTCGCTCTGTCACGGAGTCCCTGGGCGATGCTCTGGAACTGCTCCCCATGAAGCCAGTCAGAACTCTGGGGCAGTCGCCTTTCTGTGAGCAGCCTGTCTTCAGGACACGCAGCTCACTCAGCTTCCACCTTCCTGGGTCTGACCTCGGAGCATTCAGCATCCTCTGCCCCTCCGTGCACTTCCCACAGCGAGTCCGTTCAGGCGGGGCTCCTGGGGAAGCCAGAGGGTCCTGCACCCCAACTTCGCAGTCAGACGTGACTCTCAGCCAGCCAGTAAAACAGAAGGTTTATTAGACGACAGGAACATGGTCTAAACCAAAGCTTGCAGGTGCAGAGAACGGGACCCCTCAGCTGGGTCCATTTTGGGGGGCAGTGAGCCAGACAACCACGTCTGCACTTCACTCCATGTCCCAGCCAGCCCCAAACTGAAAACCCCCTCCAGCCCCTCCTCCTCTGGGCTTTGTTCCTTTCCCGGGCCAGGTGGTCACCTGGTTCCTTTGTTCTCCAACCCTTCAGCTCTCACCTTGCAGGGGGGGAAGGGCCCAGGCCATCAGTTGCCAGGAAACAGGGTGTCGGCCATTCTCTGTGTCCAGACTCCTGCACACACCTGCCCTCTAGGGCTCTGCAATGATCATACACCCTTACTCCACCCCCTAGATACTTAAGAACTGCCTAGGGGAAACTGAGGCACCCCCACACTATTCAGAGGAAACATTAAGAACAGTCCCACTTCGTCACACGCTCTCTCCTTCATTTTTTTCTTTTTCCTCACACTTTCCTTTCTCACCCCAGGTCTCCATTCCATTTTTCCCTCCCTGTTCCAAATTGCTACTTGCTGCCAGGCCCTCTGCCCCTCTCTTTTTTCCCCTTTTTCTGTCTGTCATCCCATAAATTTGTCAATCTCTCTGTCACTCTCTACAAAAAGAATCCATCCCTTTAGGATCACTGTGCATCTAACAGCCCACACTGTGTCACCAGCAAACTTCAAGCTCCACCACCACATGGCACTTTCTGCAGCACAAACAATGACCATTTTAACAAGCATCAAACTCTATTTTTCACACATATAAGAGCATTACTTTGAACTTCTATGAGTCTTTTCATCTGAGGCAGGGCTGGATCGAGGGGCAGGCGACCACCTGGGGTGCCGGCCTGGAGGAGCACCGGGCTCGGGGTGCTATTTTTGTTGTTAGTGAGAAACGGGAAAATAGAATGTTTGAAGTAAAATGTTTCAGGTATTCTGTATGTGGATTCATTTTTCACTAACCATCTAGAATGTTCTGGACCTTCATAGAATCTCATGGAACCTTCCAGACTTTCTGAGAGGTACATTTTCCTCGAACCTCCTAGAATGTTGTCAGCTATGCCCTTGTAGGTATATAAGGGGCGGGGCATTGCCAGTCAGTCAATGAGATATAAGAACGAAGATTTACAGATCCTTGTGTGCAAATTTATACCTAATATAACAGGGATAAATCATGCATGCAAATCGTGCATCAAAGTGGTGAAATGGGCTATAAATGCAATAAAAAAGAAGATATTCAAAACTTTAATGGAGGGGGGAGCTGAAGATGCACCTCGCCTGAGGCGCCATGTGGTCTAGGGCCGGCCCTGATCTGAGGATTCCAAAGAACTTTTAAGGAATTAAGCATCCCATCACTCCTATGAAGTAGGTATTATTCTTCCCATTTTATTGATGGGATAACTGAGGCACAGAGCTAAATAATTTGCCCAAGATCACATAGTGGCTTAATGGTTCAGCCAGAAATAGAACCCAGGTGTCCTGACTCTTTGCACCAACCATTCTCAACACTGCCTCTGTATACTGGAAAATATAAACAGATTCCATGGTGTACAGCCCCCATTTGGTGTATTCCCTAGACTGTACACTTGTTTTGATTTTAAAGGTCTTCATCTCTGCCAAGCTAAGCCCCTTGATAGGAGAAACAGACATTTCATTTAACATGCTTTCCACTCCTGTCACCCTTTGTCTCTCAACGTTATGTGCCATCAAAAGGTAGGCCTGGAGGATCACATGGTGATCAAGCTTTACATTTGGTAAACATGGAAACCATCCTAGGTATATGTCACTCTCCAAATATGCCACTGATGAAAGCAGTATTTCATGAATGGAAACTACTGAGCTCAGTTATTCCTGGAATAACAGTGATCCAGATTTAGCTACATTCAGCCAGAGCAATGCTAAATGTACAGGATCAGCATAATGTGTGTCATGCAAATTTACCAGAGGCTATTGGGCAATTTCCCCCTCCCCCTACCACCATTATGAATGAGACATTTTCTAGGATCCGCCCAAGACTGGAATGTTAGACACCTCTTTTGTCCAATACCAGGGATAAATTGATCTAGAAACGGCTTGCAGTAAAAATGGACCCTCTTTTGAAGCACTGTTGAAATCAGTCCCCATCTAGTGCATTCATGAGGGAACACAAAAAACATAGCACATACGCACAGAGTTTACATTACTCCCTGCACACACAATGAGGTGTATGTTCCTGATGCTTAAACCGTACCCATGATTTCTAGTTCCAAATCTCACTATTTCTATGTTTAATCCCCCCCCCCCACTGCAATATATTCACAATGAAACAAACAAAACAAGGACCCCCTAAGTAGCATTTAGGGTGACCAGATGTCCCGATTTTACAGGGACAGACCCTATATTTGGGGCTTAGCCTTATATAGGTGCCTATTACCTCCTATCCCCTGTTCCGATTTTTCACCCTTGCTATCTGGTCACCCTAGTACCAGTAGCATTCCTTATGAAGAGACAGAGCCAACAGCAGTCACTTTTTGCCACGATGCATGCGGGTAGGCAGTTATGCACTGGCACGCATTTTCTTGGTGGCAACATTTTTATGGGGCCCTAAGTTGTAGGTGTTTTAGGTCTTACCCAGGCTTCTTAGTAATACATTGCTAAATAGCTAATTGCCCGTTCAGTGCAAGTGATCATAGCATGTGTAATGGCAGGTCTGTTTTGGAATAGGGTTGGCATATATTTAGGCTGGATGGCATGAACTACAGATTGTTTGTTCCACCCATGTCACAATGATACTATTCAGTAGTGGACTGGTAACACACTGGTATTGCAGCTGGATAATTTCTGCTTATTCCTGGTCGAAAAATAGAACACTGAATGCTAACCAACTTCTTGTTCACGCTGTCCAAATGGGCCAAATTCCTTGCTGGTGTAACTCCAGTGAAGGTGCACGTGAGGAGTGAATTTGGCCCAATGGCTACAATATCTAATCCACTGTGATGAAATATTAAATAATAAAATTCACGTACATAGCATCATTCACTTGATCTCAGCAAGTTTTTTAGAGCTAGGTAAATATTATCCCTATTTTACAGCTGTATAAACTGAGACACAGAGACATTTAAGGGATTTGCCCAAGAATCAGCAGTCAAACTGGAAATAGAACCCAGGTATCTTGACTCACAAACTCTTATGCAAAATAAAGCACAATGCTGTTTCCATTGTGAGACATTACTAACCACCACTATAGCACTGGCAGAAAAATGGCAATGAAATGGCATTTTACAAGAGTGTGCATTGCATTATCATAAAAAGGATCAGAGCTTGAATACCGATTTCTTGTTCTTTTGTTTCTGAGACTGGCAGATGGTGGAACAACACTTTGCCTTTATTTAGGATCTGAGCCAAAGCCCTGGGAAGTTAATGGGAGTCTATCAACTTTTATGGGCTTTGGATCAGGCCCATAGTCCTTCAAACCAGGTTACCCTTCTGTACTAGCAACCAGCTGGGGGAGGGATAGCTCAGTGGTTTGAGCATTGGCCTGCTAAACCTAGGGTTGTGAGTTCAATCCTTGAGGGAGCCACTTAGGGATCTGGGGCAAAGCTTGGGGATTGGTCCTGCTTTGAGCAGGGGGTTGGACTAGATGACCTCCTGAGGTCCCTTCCAACCTTGATATTCTATTCTATGAACTGCAGGCACAATTTTGTAGACACAAATAATTGCATGCACAAGTGAAGGTACGCAAGTGTCTAAATACCTGGTTGCACACAGTAATTAGACAGTCAGTTGTCTAAGTGGCATAATTTCCAAGCTCGAGCCCAGCTTTAAAAATCTGGTCCTACATCTTCAACGTAATTTACCAGGATTAAAGATGTAGAAGGATGATTGATGCGACACTTTATCTTCTAAGAGAGGGCCACTGGGAGAAAGGAGAAGCTGCTACAGTGACAATATGAACCTATCTTGCTCAGCAGGAAAGTCATGATTCAAAAGGAAGGTCAGATTGCTTTGTGGACACAGTTCATGGTTCAGGAATGGATGGGGATGCCCCTGCTAGAGGCAATGACAGAAGCCACACAAGGCGGAAGCAGAAGAGATAAAGGTGGCAGTTGCAGCCTGTCACAGAACTGCAAGGTCAGAGTCTCTGATCACCTGCCTTCTCTGCAGAGGGAAGGTCCCAAACCCCATTTCTTTGGAAGGGCCCTGCTGGAAGGAATTCTGAAGTAGTTGTGGGGGCTAGTGGGGATTGACTGAGGGGTGACTTCCCTCCTTCTACTAAAACAGAAAAGGAAGGCAATGCAGGCCACCATTCTTTGGGCCAGAACTACAAACCCCAAGAAGCATCATCCATACAACACTGACACCGGTCCTGAGATCACAACTGGCTCCCAGGCCTGAGGACTGCAACAAGCAGAGGTTTAGTGCCACATACTACTATACCTCCATCTTCATTTTCCCAGTACAGGAAAAGATTCATTGTTCCGACTTCGGTGATTTGATGATCCTCTCCATACAGCCACAGAACCTGCTGACACCCTAATTCCATAGCTTCACGCTGGGCATAGATGGAAGAACCATAATTCCTTTCAGGAACAAATGAAAAAGAGACAGATATCACTAGCTAGCTGGGTATCTTCCTGCTATAAAACTTCCTAATTCTTCTACTTCTAAAAACAGCTTACATTACTTTCAGTGCCAGATTGCAAAATCCGCCTCACGATTAATGCTCTGCAGAGTAATTTCCTGCCCCTGACATGATTCCATTGGCAGCATTTAAATGAATGAACTACAAGTCACTTTGCTGCTGCAAAATAAAACTTTGAAGGGCTCAGCCAGAGTCAAGGGTGTTCCCCCTACCTAGCAGCACCATACTGCTCCACAGGGTCTGTGGACTACCTGGATAAAGCTAAAGGGAGTTTTGGTGGGCCGCCAGGGAGCTCCACTGGATCCTGGGATATAAAGGTAACCCCTGCCCCAACTGACTCATGAAAGTGTCACGTTTGTACAAGCAAAGTGGCTAACAGATTATGCAGTGAAGGCCGCAGCACTTCAAGTTTATACACATGGAAGTGGCTTAAAGCTAGTTTATTTGTAGAAGCAGAAAACCTGAAGCAGTTCAATAGGAGTCAGTTCAATAGGAAGCAGGGGATTCCCTTAGCCATACAGGCTCCCTCCCTCCCCTTAGCTCTCACTGCCTGTTGCTGCCGTCTGATGTGTAACTCTTTACCCAGTAAAAAGAAAAGGAGGACTTGTGGCTAAGACTAAGGAGGACTAGAGACTAAGGTACCACAAGTCCTCCTTTTCTTTTTGCGAATACAGACTAACATGGCTGTTACTCTGAAACCTGTCTTTACCCAGTGGATTTGCTGACAGAAATCTAGTCAGAAGAGATTTAAACTTAGATTTTTAACTCTGGTTTTCTTTATAACTGCATATTTCAGACATGCACACACAAATTTGCAAGATTTTAGGAAAAACAAGATGCATACTTTGATAAAAGGAGGCAGAAAATCATGAGGCACTGTGTGAACACTTTAAACTGGGATTAATTTTAACTTCAACATTTACCGACAATTACCACACTTGGGAAACTATCTGGTAACTCTAGGTAGTTGTTGACTTTCAACGGTGACTAAGGTAGATCAAACTTCCATATACTTTTTTCCCCCAAAAATAAGACCGGACAGAAGTTTCTCTTAGTCCCTTCCTCTTTGCAATTGCCCTTATTCCAAACTTTTGCCCTCATTCTCAAAACTTTTCATAATGTGACAACTTAACACAGAAATTGTCTTATGGACACCTTCTGTTCCATTTTCTGACAGAACAGCAGCAACTGCTTACATAGAGAAACAACATTAGGAAAGATTTCAGAGTAGCAGCCGTGTTAGTCTGTAGTCGCAAAAAGAAAAGGAGTACTAGTGGCACCTTAGAGACTAACCAATTTATTTGAGCATAAGCTTTCGTGAGCTACAGCTCACTTCATCGGCTCACGAAAGCTTATGCTCAAATAAATTGGTTAGTCTCTAAGGTGCCACTAGTACTCCTTTTCTTTTTGCGAACATTAGGAAAGCATTTGACTTGTCTTTATTTTAGCAGCTGGAATCATGAAGAGACAGCTCCACAGTCTCATGCAGCTCATTATGGACTACCAGGGGTCCACAAACTATAGTTTAACAACCTTAGCCTTAGTCTATCTATGCAGGGTGAACAGATCGGCAGTCTGCCATTTTGTAGCCCATTTTGACTGGAGGTGAGATACCTCTTTTCTGGAAATGCCTTTGTTACAATTTCTGATTTGCAACATTTAATAATACAGCATCATAGCCAGGATTTTACTGAAAGGAAAAATAATCCAACAGTTAAACTATGTAATTAATGCATAATCAGGCTCTCTTACCCTCCCAATTTGCAGTCCCCCGTTCCTCCTTTCCAGGCTCTTACATATTTGGGATCTGCCCATAAGGATATTGGATTAAAGCTTCCACTTGCAAAGTATGGGCCCACAGGACTCAGTATAACATACAGCAGGGCTTTAGTTGGCTTCTTGACTCCAAGAGAAGGCTGCACAGTAAAAGAAACACACATAGTTTTTGCTTTGTTTTCTTCTTCATGTCACAGTTTAGATTTTCTGAGTTATCACTTTCAAAGCACCTGCCGCAGGTGGGTGCTCCATCACCAGTCAAAGGGCACAATGCATCTGCAAAGATGCTGCTTCAAAAAACCAACCTAAGCCAGTGGTTCTCAACCAGGGGTCTGGGGTCCCCTGGGGGGTCGTGAGCAGGTTTCAGGAGGTTCACCAAGCATGGCCAGCGTTAGGCCCAGGGCAGAAAGCCGAAGTCCCGCTACATAGGACTGCAGCCCAGGGCACCAGGCCCTACCACCCGGGCTGAAGCCAAAGCCTGAGCAATTTAGCTTCATGGTGCGGGCCGGGCCCCAGGCAATTCCTCTGCTTGCTACCCTCTAACGCAGGGCTTGGCTTTTATATGCAGAAAAATAATTGTGGCACAGTTGGGTGGGGACTCAGAAAGAAAAAGGCTGAGAACCGCTGGCCTAAGTAACCCTTATTTTACACATGGCTTTCGTTTGACATCATAAAAAAAATGGTTCCTAACCTTTCCGTAACTGTTGTTCTTCCAGATGAGTTGCTTATGTTCATTCCACTTTAGGTATGTGTGCACCAAGTGCACCGTTGCCAGAGATTTTTCCCTCAGTGGGGTATCTGTTGGGCTGGCTCTCGTGCCCTCTGGAGCCACATGCTCATCCGCTGGTATAAGGGGAGCTGCCGGCCTCGCACCCTCTCAGTTCCTTCTTACTGTTAACGTTGACAGAGGGGTAGGAGGGTGGGTTGTGGAATGGACAGGAGCAACACATCTCAAAGAACAACAGTTACAAAAGGTAGTAACCGTTTTTCTTCTCCGAGTGCTTGCTCATGTCCGTTCCATGTTAGGTGACTCACAAGCAGTATCCCTGGAGACAGGCTCGGAGTTCATGCACATGCTGACAGCAACACTGCTCTCCTGAAAGTGGCATCATCCCAGCCCTGTTGGGTGATGGCATAGTGATATGCAAGGGTATGTACTGATGACCAGGTTGCAGCCCTGCAAATGTCCTGTGTTGGGACCTATGAGAGGGACGCTGCTGACAAAAGCTTGGGCTATTGTGGAGTGAACAGTTAAGATGACTCATAGCAAGCCCGAATACAGGCAGCTATCCAGGATGAGATCCTCTGGGCTGACACAGGTAGGTCATCCTCTCATCTTTTCCACTATTGCTATAAGGAGTTTAATCCTCTCAATATAAGAGGCGAGGTCCCGCATAATGTCCAATGAGTGAAGCTGCTGTTCCTCAGAGGTCTTGGGAGGCTTTGGGAAGAAAACTGACAGGAAAATGGCCTGGCTGCTATGGAATTGTGACACCACCTTAGGCAGGGTGGAGAGTGCAGCTGGACCTTGTCCTTGAAGGACACAGTGTAAGGTGGTTCTGATGTAATGGTCTTGATTTCAGAGACCCTTTTGGCCAAGGCAAACGCCACCAAGGAGGCAACCTTCCAAGACAGAAGCAGCAGGGGGAATGATGCTGGCGGCTCAAAGGGGAGGACCCATGAGTCTCAATAGAACCACATTTAAGTCCCACTGCGGGATCAGCTTGTGAACCTGAGGACAGAGCCTCTCCAGCCCCTTGAGAAACTGTACCATAATCTCGTGGGAGAACACTGACCTGCCATTCACCAGTGGGCAGAAGGCTGAGCTGGCTGCTAAGCACTTGACAGACATGAGGGCTAGGCCCTGCTGCTTTATGTGGAGCAAGTAGTCCAAGATAGATTGAAGGGAAGATCGGGATGTAGAGAGAGCTCGTTGAGACGTCTATGTCAAGAAGCATTTCCACTTATCCAGGTAGGTAGTCCTGGTGGACGGCTTTCTACTACCTTTCTACTACCTACCTACCTACCTGCCAGATCTGTTCTGAGAAAGCCTGTTCCTCTGGGATCAGCCATGCAACATCCATATAGTTAGGTGCAGGGACGTGAGGTTCAGTTCAGGTGAAGCAACCGGCCACGGTCTTGTGAGATTTGATCCAGACTGAGTGGCAGCAAGAGTGGAGCTGCTACTGGGAGATTCAGGAGCGTACCAAACCAGTGGCTATCAGAATAACTCTCACCTTGTCTTGTTTGACTTTTAGGAGGACCTTGCGAACCAAGGGGATTGGGGGAAAGGCATAGCATAGGAGATCTGTGAGGAAAGCATCGGAGAGGGAGCCCAGGATGTGATCATGCAATGAGCAAAACTGATGACATTTCCTGTTTTGTCTGGTAGCGAACAGGTCCATCTGGGGAGGCCCCCACCTTTGGAAGATGAACCTGGTGACCCCTGGGTGAAGGGACCACTCATGGTAAGAGGAAAAGGATCTGCTGAGGTGATCCACCGGTACTTTCCGGATTCCTGGGAGATGTGACATCTTGAGATGACTGAAGTGCTTCGTGAAGAAGTCCCATACACAGATGACTTCCTGACACAGGGCCGAAGATCAGGCCCCTCCCTGCTTGTTGATATAGCAGGTATGGCCGCACTATTGTCTGTCAGGACTTGCACCACCTTGCCTGAGATCTGGGGAAGAAACACTTGACAAGCTAAGTATACCGCTCTGAGCTCCCTGACATTTATGGGCAGGGAGAGTTCTTCTTGGGACCAGAGGCCTGAGGCTGGTGAGGTGGCCTCCCTGCCCTAGGTCTGACGTGTCCAAGATTAAAAGCTACCAGTGGGTTGAGACATAACAAAGGGCATACCCATCATTACTGATCTTGGGTCTTTCCACCATTCCAGGGAGGTGAAGGACTAGGGGAGGAACTGTTGGCACGGAGTCCAAGAGGTGTCTGCTCCAGGAATATACTGACACTAGCCACATCTGAAGGTCCCTAAGGTGCAGTCTTGCATGTTGAACCACTTAAGTACATGTCGCCATGTGCCCCTGTAGCTTCAGGCAAACCCAAGCTGTTGTAATTGGGTAGACCATGACACTGAATATCAGGTATGACATAGTCTGGACTCAGGCCTCTGGCAGGAAGGCACTGGCTTGGAATGAGTTGAGCACTGTCCCAATAAATTCTATACTCTGAGCCAGGACAAGAGTTGACTTCTGTTCGTTTATCAGCAAGCCCTGTGCTCAGAAGGTGGTTTGGACCATGCTGATGTTATTCTGAACTCGACCCTCTGACCAACTTTTGATTATTCAGTTGTCAAGATACTACCACCAGACAGGTTTCAGAGTAGCAGTCGTGTTAGTCTGTATCCGCAAAAAGAACAGAAATACTTGTGGCACCTTAGAGACTAACAAATTTATTTGAGCAAAAGCTTTCCTGGGCTATAGCCCACTTCATCTGATGCATAGAATGGAACATATAGTAAGAAGATATGTACATACATACATACACACACACATATTCTCTCTCTCTCTCTCTCTCTCTATATATATATACACACACACACACACAGTGGTTAACCCAGAACAAACAGCTACAAAAGGGGGGTAGTAATTAGTCCCAGGGGATTAAAAGGCCCCTCCCTATCCACTGAGGAGAGAGAACCACAGGGCAATAAGGTTCAGCTGGAAAAGGGGTTGCTAGGGACCCAATTAGGTTCAGCTGACTCCAACTACTTGGGACCGTTTTAAACCCTCCCCTGGGTGGTAGGAGAGGGAGGGTGAGGGAGTGAGAGGATCAGGGAAGTTGCCAGTAGGCTGTTTGCAGCAAGACACCAGGCCTTCCCAGTAGGAGGGCTGCACTCGCTCCCCAGAAGGGAAGGAAAACAAGCACAAGGGACTGATTGAGGAGAGGAGTAGCAGGACCCTGTGCCACCTATAAGGATTTGCCTTGCCCCAAACCTGAGTCTCCAAGGCTAAAAAGGACTGAGCCTACTGAGGCGAACAAGGTATTTTGCCACAATACAGAGAACATGAAAAGGTCTTAATTAATTAGCCTCTTACTCCACCTTTTCATATATATAGATAGAGATATCTATATCTATCTCTTCTTACTATATGTTCCATTCTATGCATCCGATGAAGTGGGCTTTAGCCCACGAAAGCTTATGCTCAAATAAATTTGTTAGTCTCTAAGGTGCCACAAATCCTCCTGTTCTTCTTACCACCAGACACTTAGTGAAACCCCCCAGGGGGCTGCCGATAGGCCAAAGGCAAGAGTGGTGAATTGGTACTGGTGCTGACCCACGACAAACCTGGGAAATCTTCTGTGGCCATGGAAGATAGAAATGTGAAAATATGTGTCCTTTGAGTTGAGGGCAGCGTTCCAGTCTCCTGGATCCAGGAAGGGAATGACAGAGGCAAGGGAGACCATGCAGAACCTCAATTTCTTGAGATAACTGTTGAGGCGACGCAGGTCCAGAATAGACCAGAGATTCCGTTTGGCCTTTGGAATTAGGAAAATAATCCCAAAGTGAAGTAAAACCCCTTTCCTCTTCCGTCTTGCGAAACCTTCTCCACAGCCCCCACTCATAGGATGGATTGCACCCCTTGAAGGAGGAGTTGCTTGTGAGATTTTGGGTCCCTGAAGAGAGATGCGGAAGGTGGGTGGGATTGACAGAGGGATAAAAACTGAAGGGTATAGCCGACTGTCACTGTATTTAGAACAGTCCAATGTTATGTATGACCACGCTGGGCTGAAGTGGGACAGACATTCAAAAAATAAAAGGGGAGATGACTCTGAAGCAGTGACAGGTATAATGCCCTTAGGCATACCTTCGAAAGGCCTGCTTGGGCCCTCCAGAGTACCTCTGAGATCCCAGCTGGGAGGCTGGGGTGGACAGGAGTGGCTGCTGGTGCCACTTATAACATCTCCCTTTTCTTTTGTTGGGTTCTTACCTTGGAGATGCTGAGAAACAAGGAGGCTGCTGGGACCTGAAGTGCTTCCTGGAAGCTAACGGAGCATAAAGGCCTAAGGATCGTAGGGTGGCAATTGAGTCTTCAGGCCATGAAGTCTTGTGTCTGTCTGCTCTGAGACTAGAAAGGAGCCTTCGAAGGGGAGGTCCTGGATGAACTGTTGGAAGCCCCAAGGACTGGAGCCAAGAACTATGCCTCATGGTGACAGTGGAAGCCTTTGTCCTGGCTGTTGATTCGGCTGCATCCAGAGCTGCCTGGAGAGAAGTCCTGACCGCATTCTTTCCCTCTTCCAAGAGGATAGTGAACTCCTGCCTTGAATATTGGTGCTGGGAGTCTTTAAATTTAGCCAGGGAGTCCCAAAGACAATCAAAACTTGCTGGTTAGAGATAGTAGTTGAAGGCTACCCATTGAATAAACCTTTCTTCCAGTTTCTTGGTGTCTTTTTGTTTAGGGGTAGCGCTCAACTGGCCCTGCCTGCCTGTAATTTTGTAATGTTAGTAAGTTTAAAGTACTGATAGAAGCCACATCATAACCTACTTGCAAGAATTCAGAAGTTTATTCAAGGGACATATTAATGGCTGTCATATGTATATGAAGAACCAATCCTCTGTGAATTTATTAGAGTATCTATACAATCGCTTTACAGGCTCCTTCCTCCTTGAGAGCTTGCCTCTCGTGCATGGAGCCATCATCACCAGGGTGAAGAGTTTGCTCCCAGGCAAAGTCTAAAATCTGTTGAAAGTGCCATTGCTTGTCCACATGGTATTTGACAGACCACTAGTCTGGATTGAGTGAACCATGCTCAAACTAGCTGTGTGGAAGCACTAACTATGACATTAGTCCCATTTCTTTGGACCTCTGTATGTAACAGGAAGACAGATAGAAACTTGCCTAACAGTAAGAAAATACAGTACTTCCATTTAAATCTTGTTACGGGTCTTGTCATGGTGAAGAGGTCATTGTTGGGAGCTGGTGAAATGAACTCTTCTGTTGTTTACCTTTTGCAAGTCAGAGCAATTTTTCTGCTTGATATGGGTAAAGGCCCAATCGGTGTGGAGTAACCTGAAACAATTAGAGCACTTTACTTGCCTAATGAAGCCCCACATTGAAGAATCACTTCATATTAATACTGTGCACTTACTTCAGGGAGATAATTTCATTGATGGTCTGCAAGTGCTTTACAAACATTAAGTTAACAAAGTCCCAACACCTTTGTAAGGCAGCTAAGTATTACAAAGACTATTTACAGATGGGGAAATTGAAATGAAATGACTTGCCCAAGGACAGACAGGAAATCAGTGGCAGAATTGGGAACAGGAATCACACCCTGATTCCTAGTCCTATAATCCAGTAAGCCTTAAAGTTTTCCCTCCTATGAAAACTTACAAGAAACTAAAGTGTTCATAAGAATCAACTCCCTGTATCCAAATTGTTTTACCGACATTGTAGACTTGCTTCAATCACAGGAGCAAACAATTTGTGTATATGCAAACAGAGGAGCTGCAATGCAGGTGAAGTTCATCCATGAATGAGGAAAAATTCATCTATGAGAGAGTAGCACTTGGGACTCCTCCAGAGGGGAACAACTTTAAATTACCTTTTGGTCTTTAAATTACCTTGCCAGTGGGACACCATGACATTCAGTCATTGAATTACCATGCATATCTCCCATAGCCTTTTCTCTAAATTACTTTTCAAAATTTCAATGCATACATTGCTGTGTAACTAGCTGGTCTCCTTTTCCTACAAAACCTCAACTGAAATATTCTACATAGAAAAAAATTTACAATCATTCACACAGACCAAGTGAAAAATTGTCTTACACCTAATGATCTGAACAAATATGTCCACTAGATGGTGCTGTGCTCAATGTAAATGAGCTGTAGTAAAATGAGGCTCCACAGAGTGGAGCATTTTCTAGGTAAATCAATGTGCTAATGGCAAAGAGAATTTAACAGTCACAGGTAGGCAATCATTGGAAAAATGTTTTGGACAACACACTGTTAAAGATTTTTCCCATCACTGAAATTAGCTTATATGTTCTGCTAGCTGTATAATTCTCACTTGAATTTATAAAGATAACACTATTCTCACTGGTTTCAGAGGAACAGCCGTGTTAGTCTGTATTCGCAAAAAGAAAAGGAGTACTTGTGGCACCTTAGAGACTAACCAATTTATTTGAGCATGAGCTTTCGTGAGCTATATATACATCTGATGAAGTGAGCTGTAGCTCACGAAAGCTCATGCTCAAATAAATTGGTTAGTCTCTAAGGTGCCACAAGTACTCCTTTTCTTTTTACTATTCTCACTGGCAGCCAAACAGACAGTCTGCTTTACTGTTTCTGCTACAATTATAATACAGTTTATCACACTTTGGCCAGCCTATCACTTGGCAGCAACCCGTGGGGAACCCACAAAAGAGACTATGATTTGTTATCAAACTTCTGACTCCTCTTTGAATTGGTGAAACCTGGATGCATTTATGCTTTAGCAGCAGGAGTGAGTGCAAACCTACCAGCCAATCTGTAGTAGAAAAGCAGGACATGGAAGGAATACTGTGATTAGTGAGTATTCAGAGGTATGACGGGGAAGGGTGGTATATGAATGGAACTCTTGGAATGATGAGTATGTATACAAACACAAAAAAGGTACATGCAAATATGTCAGAGAGATTATACTGTGACATTGCTTTAAATGTGCCAGACTAAAAGCTGCCACAGGGTCCCACACTGAATGAACAAAAAAATCCAACCACACCAGTGCTTCCAAATTGGTGGCCAAAAGGTCTTTGGTTTAATATATATAATATAAAATACAAACATACAACAAACACGTGTATGAGACTATAGTACAGATATTGCCAAGGGCATAGCAACTTCTCAAATTGTTCTTAAAAAGCAAAAAAGGTTAGGTTTTTCCTTGATTATCCAGATAGTCAAGTTATATTATCTCTTCTGTTGGCAGACTAAGAAAAAGAGGCTGATGATTGAATGGGTGATGAAGACTGAACTGTCTCGTCCCCCTGAGAGATCTTCACTCCAAGATGTGGGTGAGGCATACAAGCTTGTGCTGATGCTGTCCATATTACATATGTTCGATGTATAAATAAAGGACATCTGTCCAGGCCAGGCCAGCATCTTTCATGACCACTAAATTAACTTTAAATGAATTTAGGAAGAAAAAAGAACAGATGCCATTTGATTTGTATTGGGGGGAGTTAAGCAATAAGATTCCATTGAAGCCAAATGTGGTTAATCTATTTTCTAACATGCTACTTTTGAAAGCAATCATTTACATACCAGAGACAGGGAGAAAAAGTAAAATATAGTTAACCAAGCAAGGCCTGCCATTCATAAAACTCGTGGCACTACATTCACTAGTGCATTATGGGTACTTTGCACTCTGCTGGCAATGCAAAGGTGCCATAAACCAACTTTGATTGGCCTGTTAAACCAAATGTATAGAAACTGTACATGGCCAGAGAGACACAAATCAGTCATAGAATACTGGTGAATATATCCCAATGCTTCAAAATAAAAAGATCTGTATAGAATGTTTATTATGAGTTGTATTACAGCAGGGTCTACAGGCCTCAACTGAGATCAGGGCCCCATTGTGATGGGCACTGTACAAACATAAGGGACAGTCTCTGCCCTGACAAGCTTACAATCACTGCTCTAGCCTAAGTGCCAAAATATGGTTGCCACTCCAGCTGTAGAAAGAGAATTAAATACTTTAGTCTCCTTGCCATGGTCAATTACACAGCATGGATTTCAAGAGGTTAAGATAAGAACAAAGCAATGAAAATGTATATAAAACTCAGAAGAAAACATTTTTTTTCCACACCTCTGTTCCAATTAAAGTAGGGCGGATATACAGGCTTGCAGATGTAGAGTGCGGGACCCACTCTTTTTCCACTTCCACAAGCTTCCGGATGCACTCTAAGAGCTCCTCCTTGTCAAAACACTGAAAGAAAGAAAGAAAGAAAGAAAGAAAGAAAGAAAGAAAGAGTTATGCAAACATTCTAATAGGAACTTTTAATCATGATGAAGAAGTGTTTGCAGACTATAGAAGTCCACGTGATTCTAACATCACCCTTGGTGTGTAATAAGATACAAGGGAAAAGGCCACGTGATTTTAAGTGCCAAAAAATGAGTGGTCTTAAGATCCTTCATGATATTGTGAAATATATTTCACAAACACAAATAAAGAACCAGTGGGATTACTCAACTCCAATTCTGTTGTACAAAGCACACTGTAAAGAACTCAGTGTGTGCAAAGAACTCAGTGTGTGTATGGGCAATCCCCTAAATTTTCAGGGTCACACAGAGTTTAAAGCCAGAAGGGACCACCAGATCACCTAGTCCGACCTCCTGTATAATACAGGCCACTAAACCCACACAGTTCCCTCTGCACTGAGCCCAGTAATCTGGATTAGACTAAAATATTACAGCCCACAGGAGACAACACTATTGTGTGCCATAGGCAGAAAAAAGGAGGCATCAAGGTGTACCAATGCCCAACGCCCCTCAGTGGCAGGGTATTGATTAAGTGAGATATACCTGGATGATCCTAGCAGTTTGTTCCCAGAGCTTGGACCGGAATTTAAGGCCTGTGAATTTTCAGAGCATTGTGGATAATGATGAACATTTCACTATAGAATTCCTATATACAATATCACCATAACAAGCATGACAAGGAACACACAGGCCAGGGTGCAACTATTAGGAGCACATAACTTGCCCTGCTAAAGCTCATCAGCATGGTGATAAACTTGGGGCACCAAGGGGCTACAGGACTTGACTAAGGTCACAAAGCAAGTCAGCAGCAGAGCCAAAAAATAAAACTCTTACCTTGAAGACAGCCACTGAAAACAATGGGTTAAATTCTACTTGTGCAAGCCTATGGACTTCCATAACTGTAAAAGAGGGTACCATTTGGCCCACTGTCTGTATATAAATGTTTAGAAGGATGTGTGTATTGCCTTCAGCTTCTAAAGGATTGATTAATCCCCCGAACTTTAATTTCCATCAGTGGGGAAGAAGGGCAGCAAGGAAAGATGGAGAAAATGAACCTCCATCTTTGTGCCAATGATCTAGCACAGGGGTTCTCAAACTATTTTTTGCCAGGCCCCCCTTTGAAAATATTTCAGGATGTGATGACACTTCCCCCTGCCCACATGCCACCCTTACTTCTGCGCTGCTGCTGGTCAGCCGCCCAGCTCCGAAGGCAGCGCAGAAGTAAGGGTGGCAATACTGTAACCACTCTACAATAGCCTTGTGACCCATTTTTGGGTCGGGACCCCCAGTTTGAGAAACACTGATCTAGCAGAAGAGTTCATTTCACTGGCTCCCTACAATGAGCTCTTCACCATGACAAGACTCCTAACAAGATTTAAATGGAAGTACTGTATTTTCTTTGTAGTCAGCAAGGGTTTATAGCTCCTGCGCACTTCAAAGCCTCACACCCTAAAAATAAAAATGTTTTTCTAACCCAAGGAAAGAATGAGCTTCAGTTACATACTGGCAGTGTTGCTCGCGCCGCTGACCGCAGCATCCTGTCCATGTTGAGCGTTGGGCGGAACAGGCGGATTTTACCATCCACTCCTCGATAAGCCTTCATCCCTTCAAACAGCTACCAACCCAAAAGGAGAAAGGACCCAAATGAAAATTGTGCTGGGTTATCTCATGACCACCAATACAAAAATAAAACATGCCCTTTGGAAGTAACAGAGCTTAGCACTTCCATAAACACTTTACATCTTCAAAGTTCTGTATGAATTCTAACTAATTAATCTTTGCGGCACCCCTGTGAGGTAGATAAGTATTATTACTCCCATGTTACTACCTGTTAGAGTAGTTGTCTACTCTAATCTGTCCCTGGGGACTTTGGTGATAATGTCATTATCCTGAGCTGGTTCCAACAGTTAAAATCTGTTGCATGGGTGAGACTTTATGATACCCTCATACCCTGACTAATGCCTAGGACCGATCCCAAATAGCATCTTCCCCTATGGAAAAGTCCTACAGAATTTAACAAAGTATGATAAATTTCCTTTAGGGCTCCACCTGATGTGTGCCTATGCTGAAGGAAAATTAAGGAAGCCCTTAAAATCCCTTTATCCTGTTTCAGCTGGCCCTTGCTCCATCTGTCTCCCAACATACCCCTATGTGGGGAGAGAGGGTGGAACGGGCGGAGGACACAGGTGGCACAGAAATCAGCTCCTTCAGCTTTATGCCGGAAGAAGAATTCAAGAATTCTTATGGTCAGAATCTAGCTACTTTGAACCATGAGAACAGACTGGGGAAATCTAGCCCATAGTTTTTTGGACCATCCTATAGAATGTAATAGAAAACTATATCCCTGTGACCGAATAGTTCTAAAAACATACTGAAACAATACAATTCTTTAAGTTCTATGAGTTGTTTTTTAGAGTAGTTTCTATAGAACCTAAATGGTTTCATCACTATTACATTCCACAGCACTTTTCCATAGGGTTAGTACAGTAGAGGACTATCAAAGGCTTTAATGCAGCTTCCAGGACACAGTGAGGTCTTGTCCACACCACAAATTTTAGTTGTGTCATAACTGGGTCACAGGACAACCCAGTGTAGTATAAACAGAGCCTCAGTAATTTTCCCGAGGCCGTACACCAATTAAGTGGCAGAGCCACCATTAGAACTTAGGGCATCTTGCTTCTCAACACCATTCTCAGTGCTGTGGACCACGCCAGCTTCCACTTCATTCAAACTTCTTGCACAAATTTAAAAGGCCACCATCCCACAACAAAATTTGACACTGTAGCCAGAGAACAAAATGTACCTTTAATAAACCACGGCATAGCTGATAGAGGAACTTTAACAGGATTTTTTACTGGACTAGCAATCAGCTAATACTGTAATTTTCTTATTGTGCCAAATTGTGGTTATTACAAAACAGCTGTTTTCCCCAATATGCATTTACAGAATGTTTTATGAGAGAAAGAGGAAGGAATGTTAGTCTAAGATATGATCAGTGGTTTCAGAGAAGCAAGAGTCACATCATTATTGCAACATAAAGATTGCTCAAGCTTTTAAATCTTTTTCTCCATGGATGGATGCTTGTCACTTTTCAGAGCACAGAAAACCTTTTCACTTGTTAAAGAAAGAGTACCTGCGGTGTGTTCTGGGAATGCCCAGCTCTAATAAAAGCAACTGCTGTAATTGCTTGCTGGTTTTTATACAATTTGCTGCTGCAAACTGTTGCAGGGCTGCAAATGCGTGCACACTATATCATCTGGCATCTGTAAGTCACAGGAGCTGGATCCAGAGGCTAGCAGATCCAGGATATCACAGTGTATCATGGAGGGCAAGGAGAAGGGAGGGAGGGAATGCCAAATTCATCATTTTTAATATACCCACTGTGTATTCATTGAGCCACACCATTGGGACCAGATTCTCCTCTGTCTCTCCTCTTGGCTAGAGGAAACGTGATGCAACAAAAGTAAAAAATAAAAAATGGAAAAAAATAAGAGCATATTCATATTAGCAATGATTTCAGACTGGGCCACAGGCCTAGCACTAAAGCAATATGCTACTATGAGTGAAACATAAATTTGGGACTCCAGCGTGGTTTCTTGCTCCCTGGGCCAATCAAGAGCCATATTTAGCCCTCCTCAGCCACAGGGACTTGTAACCATAACACAGATCCTCGAAGGTTAGTTGACTGAATGGAAAAAATGGGGTAGGCCAGAGCCTTGCGGCTCAGAGGAGTTTCCCAGGCAAAAAAAGAAAAAGCCATGAGCCTGTTTCTCTTCTCTTTTACACCAGCGTAACTCCACTGAGTTCAGTGGAGTCACTCCTGATTTATGCTGAAGTGGAAGGAGAATCAGGCCAATGTTCTCACTGTATTTCCTAGATAGCTCAATGTGCCCCTACTGATGCTCTGACACAGACAAGAGTTTAGCACAAGCCGCTCCAATGACACAGAAAAGGCAGCTTTAGACACTGACAGCTAAGCATTTTTGAAAACTATTAACCACGCTGGCTTCCGGTTGTTAACATTTCACTTCCTTATGGGCAGCTCCTTGTTGCTATTTGGTCTCTGCTCTAATACATTTATTTTTAATCTTATAAGATTGCCTGAGAACTAGTCAACAAGTGGGAATTAAAAACAAGAATCTGTCTAGTGTGTCCTGCAATCCAAGCTATGGATCTTTAATGCCTTCTATCAGTTTTTCAGTATGCATGCCCAGTCCCCAAATTAATACCATCAACTTTCCTAGAGTCTCATACAGACCATCTCAGTGTCACACTAGAGTACGAAGCAGGGTGAACTGGAAACCGTGAGCCAGATTTTGCCCTCAGTTAATCAAATGTAAACCAAAACTAACTCCACCAAAGCCAATGGAGTTACTCTGGAGTGACACTAGTGTTAACTCAGCACATTAGGTCAGTACTAACTAACGAAGACAGTAACGGTACTTAGAACATATTACGATATAATGTTTTCAAAAGCTAGTAAAAAAAGGTAATTGCCTAATCCATTTGGTACTCACTTCCACAGCATAGTGGAGAGATGATGAGGCTGGATGTAATGAAAGGTTCTCAAGAGGCCTAATATGAGGTTTCTCCCATCCTGAAGTCAAAGACCATTCGACTATCAGCATGTTGTCTGTGAAAACAGTTCCAAACACCAAACCACTGGGGTTTGGTTTTTCCTTGAAAGTGGTAGCTGGGTTAATAATTAAGTCTGCAGCCTGGAAGAAACATAAAACAAAGATGTATGAGTATTTAAAAATAAAATAATTCAAAAGTAGATTAAAAGTGCTTGTGCATCAGTCACCACAGAACTATAAATAGGCAAGGGAGAATGCAATGTTTTGTTTTACAATTTTGACAGATAACAAGGCTTAACTTTAACACTTTTTCTATTTTTATCTATTTGCGTTTTAACAGTTGTGGGAAATTATGGGGGCGGGGGAAGTCAGACAGTAATTATTTAATGACAGAAACTGAGATTCAAAAATCTTCCTGCAAGATCATGTTTCCAGGATACAAAGACTTCTTCATATAAAGGAAGATTGTGACTTGACATAGGGAAGTAAGGTGCATTTTTGTTCCCAGCATCATGGTGGAGGGAGGGGGAGAGTAGAGCAGGCTCTGAGGGGCCGCTAGTCCCCTTGCATACACAGATGGGCAAGAGTGGCTGGAGCAGAGCAGGACTAGGGCACAGCCTTCTCTCTATTCTCCCCCCGCCCGACCTTCTCATAACATGCTGACCAGCACAGCTCAGCTGGCTCAGAGGGGAAAGTAATCTGTCAGAAAAGGATTGTCGCTCTGAGTCATACTGCCTCCCTGGCACAGCTATGCACTGCCCTTTACTCATGGCTCCAAGTAAAGTGTCACTCTTTTATTTGATACTTAAAAATACAGTGCAATTAAATCACAGATGCATGAAGGTAGAAATGGTTCAGCACCAGCCATCGCAGATTCTGCAGAGGAGTGTTTCAGACTTAGAAACACACATTTTCCAAAGCAAGAGGAATTTGGTCTTAGTCTTTTGAAAAAGTCTCTCTTTAAACAATCTGATTTTCAGGAAGCCTTTACTAAACAATGGCCTGTTTTTATTCTTTTTACATAATGTATTAGATGTAAAATGAATGGTGAGCCAAAGCACATGAAGAGCCAGAAGTTTTTTCAATCCTGATAAGACTTATCTAGGTATTACAATGCATTAGTTTGACAACAACAATTACAGTTCTCTTTGTAGGAACTTTTAGCCTGCCAACTGTGAACTCTCTAAAGGGAATAGCTCTGCTTAATGATTTCATGAAACCAAGAAAGGATTCTACTGAAAACCTATTATCAACCAACCATGAAAAAGATATCACCAAAAGCTGTATGTCAAAATAAAAACCAATATTTTGAAACCTGGGTGCCTAAAACTAGCCATCTAATATAGTCCCCAAGAAAACACTTAAACACAACCTTAACTTTAGGAATTTGGCTAACCGTTGATGTCAGTGGGACTTATCACGTACTCAAAGCCAAGCATGTATTTGAGTACTCTTTGCTTTTCTGAATCAGAGCCTTACGTATCCCAAATTAAATGATTTTCAAAGGTGCTGAGCACCTGCAGCTGCCACCGAAATCAACAGTAACTCAGTATCTCTAAAAGTGAGGCCTTTTTTATTTAGGTAGCTAAATTTAGATTTGTGCACTTCATTTTAAGCTCCTGAATTTCAAAAATTTTAGCCAGAGCGTTTAGAGGGGATAAATACTTTTTTTTTCATATGGGAGCTTATTGTACTTGAATAATATATCTTATTTTAAAAGATGTTATGCCAAAAGGTGCTAATGGCTACCATTGGGATGGGGAGGGGAACAAGGGACAGGGAGGGTTCTTGATCCAACACCATCACAGGTCTCGTTAAAGCCAACAGCTGTGCCAAGTGTTCTCTTTAAGGCTCTGTCATAAATATAAAGGGAAGGGTAAACCCCTTTGAAATCCCTCCTGGCCAGGGGAAAGCTCCTCTCACCTGTAAAGGGTTAAGAAGCTAAAGGTAACCTCGCTGGCACCTGACCAAAATGACCAATGAGGAGACAAGATACTTTCAAAAGCTGGGAGGAGGGAGAGAAACAAAGGGTCTGTGTCTGTCTGTATGCTGGGTCTTGGCCGGGGATAGACCAGGAATGGAGTCTTAGAACTTTTAGTAAGTAATCTAGCTAGGTATGTGTTAGATTATGATTTCTTTAAATGGCTGAGAAAAGCATTGTGCTGAATAGAATAACTATTTCTGTCTGTGTATCTTTTTTGTAACTTAAGGTTTTGCCTAGAGGGGTTCTCTATGTTTTTGAATCTAATCACCCTGTAAGATATCTACCATCCTGATTTTACAGGGGGGATTTCTTCATTTCTATTTACTTCTATTTTTATTAAAAGTCTTCTTGTAAGAAACTGAATGCTTTTTCATTGTTCTCAGATCCAAGGGTTTGGGTCTGTGGTCACCTATGCAAATTGGTGAGGCTTTTTATCCAACATTTCCCAGGAAAAGGGGGGTGCAAGTGTTGGGAGGATTGTTCATTGTTCTTAAGATCCAAGGGTCTGGGTCTGTAGTCACCTAGGCAAATTGGTGAGGCTTTTACCAAACCTTGTCCAGGAAGTGGGGTGCAAGGTTTTGGGAAGTATTTTGGGGGGAAAGACGCGTCCAAACAGCTCTTCCCCAGTAACCAGTATTAGTTTGGTGGTGGTAGCGGCCAGTCCAAGGACAACGGGGGGAATATTTTGTACCTTGGGGAAGTTTTGACCTAAGCTGGTAAAGATAAGCTTAGGAGGTTTTTTTTCATGCAGGTCCCCACATCTGTACCCTAGAGTTCAGAGTGGGGGAGGAACCTTGACAGGCTCAAGAGAAGGAGCAAATCAAACCCCTTTTTGTAGTAAAGACAGCTGCAAAAAATTGGAGGATATCATCCAAAGCATTAGGGTGAGAACTAAACTGTGTGGGACTGAGGGGTTTCTCTGGTTGCAAATCCTGGGGCTACCAGACTGGGCTGCAGGCTGTGTGTATTGGAGGCAAAGAGTCTGTAGAAGGAATTGTGAAGGTGGTCCTGAAAGGAAGCAAAGACAGAGCTTCTTTGGGCACAGAGCATGCTGAAGTAGCAGATCTCTGAGCAGGGTAACTGCCTGCTGCTGTTTGTTTTTATTATGTTCAGGGAAAAAGGCCCTTGTGTAGAATTTTTGTAAATAAAACTATAAACTACACTAAGATACCCGACTCCTCACGGATTCCTCATCCTAACAGAAACAATCCTGCAAGGCCCCAAATATTGGCTAACTGCTCAGGCCAAAGTGTCAACAATAATTTAGAGGCCCTCAATCTCTGATGTGAAAACTTACATGGGATAAATTAAAATATATATAGTTTGACCTCTACTGTTGTATGTCCTTTTCTTAACAGGGCTGGCCTTACCATGAGGCAAACTGAGACGGCAGCTTCAGGTGCCAGACTGGGGCGGGCATTGAGGGTGTCACTAGGACCCAGAGTATAGAAAATTGTGTCTGTGGCTGATGCATATGTATTCTCTCTGCTCTAGATGCACAGAGATGGTGGAGTGCTGTGCTGGAGGAAGGAGGGCACGAGAGACATAACAGGCAGGCAGGAGAAAAGGTGAGAGGCAGTAACAGAAAGCAGCAGGAGCTGCAGGGAGAGAGAGGAGGAGGAGCCTCTTATGTACTTCTCTAGCACCCCCAGGAGCCTGGACTGATTAACACCAGCTTCTCAGGGAGCTTCCTGTTTCCTGCCACTTCTCTGAACCCACTTGAGGAGAACAGGCAGTCAACTGAAGTAGTAGGAGCCAGTTAGGCCCTTAAGACGCTGATATCTTCCCTCACTCAGGGCCTGCTACCAGTCTGGTTATTTGTCCCCTTCAATTGAGTGTTGAGAGCCACTATAGCTGGCACAGAACAGCAGTCACGAGTGAAAGAAGAAAATGCCTCTGAGGCAGCATTCAGAAAAAGAAAGAAAGGAAGCTTTTCTATTTAAGCGGGAAGGAGCTCTCCTGAGATACATAGACACAAATGTTCACGGTGAGCCTTCTGGCCCCAGTGAGGATGTGAGGAGATGCCTGATCTTCCAGTTAGTCAGAGTGCAGGTGACCTGGAAGCTACTGCAGCATGCATATCTGCATCTCAAATGGATGTAACCATGCACATTCCTGAAGAAAAGTGTAGATCAGAGAAGAGTGTGGTGGAGGCGCAAGAAACAGCTGCTGCCGAGTTTAGTTCCTTAAATCTAGATGATCCAGGACTGTGGACCCACTTGAGCAGTATCCCGAAGGACTTCCTTGTACTGCATGGGCCACAACAAGCGAAAAACTTCATATTCCCCAAAGACAATGAAAATAGAAGTTTCCATCCAACACATTACTGGAGTGAAAGCCCCAATGGTGACAAAGTGGAGAGGCCATGGCTTATGTGCTCAAAAACCCAGAATGCTGCATACTGTTTTTGTTGCAAACTCTTCAAGTCTAATGTTCCAGCCACATTGGGTTCTACCGGAACAAAGGACTGGAAAAATCTAGCTAAAAATCTGGCATGCCATGAAAAGGCAGCAAATCACCAGAGAGCATTCCATAGGTGGAAAGAGCTTGAGATGAGACTAAGGTTAAAGTCCACCATAGATAATCAGCATCAAGAGAAGATTACATCACAGTCTCTTTACTGGCAAAATGTTCTGAAAAGGCTCATTGCCATTGTGAAATGCTTGCTACCCAAAACCTCGCACTGCATGGCACTTCAGATCAGCTGTATGTGTCAAACAATGGAAACTTCCTTAAAATTGTGGAGCTGATGGCTGAGTTTGATGCTGGACTCCAGGAGCATCTAAGAAGAGTTACCACTCAACAAATGTACACACACCGCTACCTTGGAAAAACAATTCAAAATGAGATCATACAGTTACTGGCAACAAAAGTCAAACAGAAGATTGTGTCAGCAAGATATTACTCTTTTCAGAGTAGCAGCCATGTTAGTCTGCATTCGCAAAAAGAAAAGGAGGACTTGTGGCACCTTAGAGACTAACAAATTTATTTGAGCATAAGCTTTCGTGAGCTACAGCTCACTTCATCAGATGCATTCAGTGGAAAATACCGTGGGGAGATTTATATACATAGAGAACATGAAACAATGGGTGTTACCATACACACTGTAACGAGAGCGATCACTTAAGGTGAGCTATTACCAGCAGGAGAGCGGGAG